ATCTTTTTAAAACTTACCGAAAAATCGGGTGCCGGCGAGAGTTGAGACTATTAAGCACTCACGTCAACGTTATACATAAAACGACCAAGTTCCAAATCTCGGCGCGTATGCGCAAACTCTAATATTACCTATTTACTATAAAAGCTTATCACGTAGTAGGCCCAACTGTCGCACCAACAGTAGAATTTTAAATATGGAAGGTGTACCTGAAAATGTTTATGCGCGGGAAAAAACGCTGGATTGTCGTTGGTTTTTCTTTTTCTTTTATTGTCGATCTATGCAAACTAACTTCCAGTGGTTTGTGATACGTGATACGCTGTCGCATATTATACTGTAACTAACGCATCGCCCCAGTTTCGCTCGAGTGCGATATTACAAATTTTAATATTAAAACATTTAATTTATTTATTTATAAAAAAAGTTATTACAACGTGCACGTGACACCAATAGTGTTGCAGGCATCCATAAGTTACAGTATCCGTTTATCATTAGACGGGTTGTATACCGTGAAACAGTTGTGTTTGCATAGCTGTGTTTCGGTTTGAAGGGTGGGATATGGCATGAATTTAGTGGGTACTGAAGAATAACACCTGAGTTCTCAGGAATGGCAACGCATGGCGGATATAATGGGCGAAACAGTATAGTCTGTTATGTCCATGGTACTGCTCATGTTTATAGGCGACGGTTACCACTTTCCATCAGGTGGGCCGTCAGCTTGTTTGCCATTCTAAGTTGTATAAAAAAAAATACCTGTTTGCCACCATCGTGGTAAAAAAAATAATTAATTAGTATACGATAGGATTCTAATACACGTAAATTCTGCACAAAAAAAAATGTTGCGTGCTTTAGCGGAATAAATAAACAGACACACGTAGAGAGCGACTTTGTTTTATCCGTAGTAATTCCTTATAATATGTGCTAGTTATAAACATCTATATATATATATATATATACTAATTTATATTCTGCAATATAATGAAAGATATATCAAATATTTCTAATCGAGTTGATAGTTCCTTAGCACCTAAATCTTAGATGAGTAACTACATATACGAATATTTTAAATACATAGATAAGGTCAGTGGACCCTTTTATGGATCATAATATACAATTATTATATAATTTTGTAAGTACAAAATTATGATTATAAAAGCTTTATTTCCATACAAATATAACGCCCTTCTCGATTCAATAGTTTCCATAAGGCATCGATCGTATATTTATTCTCAATTGATAATGTTCCTCAACCAGTAATTTGTTGAATTAGGCCTCTAGTTAATACGTGGGATTTGAGTGGGCGACTCGCTGTATGTTTGGCACATATTAATGGTATTTAGCACTGTTGTCTTTAATATTAAATATTGTCTATGTATAATTTAAGAAATAAAATAAATAACTCAACAGTAATAATTTATTTTAAATGAATGATAATGGATTGATAATTCTGCCCACACTCTCGGTATCTGGCAAGGTATTAGTGAGGAACGATAGCCAAGGAAGAAATCAAGTTAGGAGGCCCGTTGTGACAAATTCGTCTGGAATTAATAAAAAATTTGAAAGAAATACAAAAAAATATTTCTATCTGCTTTACGTACATATAAAATTTGGTGATGTCCAACTAGTTTTGAACATAATTGTAGACCTTATTCATAAGCACGGTTGACGGCCGTTTCGCGAGTAGCAATCTAGTCGGACATCACCGTATTTAATAAGTGAGTGAAACAAATGGATATAAATTAATATTATACTAAACACGTATACATATACACACGCACATACACATACGCACACGCGTACACAGGAACACATACATAGATTTTTGGTTGCGATACTTCATGTTATTTTTATCATTAAATAAATATTATAGAAGAAGTCGCGGACAAAAGATATAGTCAAACACACAGCAAACTTCAAACTGAAGTACAGAAAAACTTAATAACAGTGCAAAATACACCTAAACAGAAGTCTTGATTCAAGTAAGAAATTTAATATACACGAATAAGTAAGCATATCACTTTGTGCACACAATTTAAACGTCTAGTTGGTAATTAAGTACGTACTCAAATAGAGAGAATAACTTGAAACTGGGAATAAATCTGCCTTGAAATTCCTCACATGTGGGTACATGTTACAACCGTCATAAGTAGGCGTTGACTTTATGAAACTTAAACAGTTTTACAAATCCTCAGCGTTGTTAACTTTTTATTTAAATATAACAATACTGTCGAAATAGAGTTTCTTATTATTTCTAATATTGTATCTCTTAATTCCTTTTTTATTTAACTTGGAAGATCAACGTGTAAGGATGTAAACAGTAATATATGATATATTGTAATGAATATGAAAATTAACAAATTGATATCTAAGTTTTATTAAAATTGTCACTGAAACACTCTGTAAATGAAATTAGTAACAATACGAAACGTGTAATCATTTAATCGATATTTTTGTTACTACTATTGGACATTAGCAGACTCTTTTATAGTAACGTCAAATATTCGTTCATTTATATTTTAATTGAGTTTTATTAAAATAAACTCTTTTTTGGTATTGGACATTAGCAGTCTCTTTTATAGTCACGTCAATTATTCGTTCATTTATATTTTAATTTAATTTTATTAAAATAAACTCTTTTTTGCTATTGGTCATTAGCAAACTCTTTTATAGTCACGTCAATTATTCGTTCATTTATATTTTAATTGAGTTTTATTAAAATAAACTATTTTTTGCTATTGGACATTAGCAGTCTCTTTTATAGTCACGTCAATTATTCGTTAATTTATATTTTAATTTAATTTTATTAAAATAAACTCTTTTTGCTATTGGCCATTAGCAAACTCTTTTATAGTCACGTCAATTATTCGTTCATTTATATTTTAATTGAGTTTTATTAAAATAAACTATTTTTTGCTATTGGACATTAGCAGTCTCTTTTATAGTCACGTCAATTATTCGTTAATTTATATTTTAATTTAATTTTATTAAAATAAACTCTTTTTGCTATTGGCCATTAGCAAACTCTTTTATAGTCACGTCAATTATTCGTTCATTTTATATTTTGGAGTTTTATTAAAATAAACTCTTTTTTGCTTTTTTTTATACAACTTAGAATGGCAAAAAAGCTGACGGCCCACCTGATGGAAAGTGGTAACCGTCGCCTATAGACATGAGCAGTACCATGGACATAACAGAGTATTTTGTTTCGCCCATGATACCTCCCATGCGTTGCCATTCCTGAGGACTCAGGTATTATTCCTCTGTACCCTGTAAATTCACGTCATATCCCGCCCTTCAAACCGAAACACAGCCATGCAAACACAACTACTTCACGGTTGAAACACGAATAAAACTGAAGATACGGTTACTTCTAGCAGAGTACTTTGAAGCCCTAGAATCTGATCTTTTTTTAATGAATGATAATGGAATGCTGATCCCGCCTGCGCTAACGGTATACGCTGGCGGGGTACCAGTGAGGGATGATAGGTGAGAATGGAAAGGCAGGTCAGCTAGCCTATCGTGGTGAGTATACTTGGAATTCAACACGATGGTTTCCAGCGAGGACCACGTCGAGGTCAACCTGATAGGCATATTGTTAGCAATGGGACTGGTAATTCGCATTACTAACAATTCCTTCCCCCCGTATCATCAGAATTGGATTAACCTGGTCACTATTTTTTTTAATGGATGATAATGGAATGGTAACCCCATCCGTGCTATCGGTATACACCGGCGGGGTACCAGTGAAGGATGATAAGTGAGGATGAAGTAGGTCAGTTAGCCCATCGTGACGAATTCAAGAAGAATTGTTTACGATGGTTTCCAGGGGGAACCACGTGGAGGTCGACCTAATAGGGCATATTGCTAGCAATGGGGCTGTCAAACTCCATTGCTAACAATTCCTCCTCCCACTCTCCCCCGTCACTATTCGTAACAAAATACCTAACAGAAGAAGTTGCGCTCACATCTTTGTAAAAGTGTCTTTTCAAAAAAAATATTTTAACGGCATGGTAACCTATTATTGTTGTCTTTATATTCCGATATACTCAGAAACGTATGTAAACTAAAACCTATGCATCATGAGAGCCTTCTTGGTGTTTTGATATACATAGTTAAAAATTTCAATCTTTCTAATGTTAATTTAAGCATAATTCAATGTTGCATCATTTATTAAAATTATGTGTGTTATTGTATGATAATTAAACACGTAAAATTAAGTGGAATATGTATATTTTACAGCAGTTTGTTTTTCTTTTCTATAAAACTTTGATACGCATAAGAGAAAATTTACTGAATAAAATAACACGGTAACGCCATCTAGTTCTGAATTGAGAAATCATAATCATAAAAGTTACACTACAGATGACGTTACTGATGCGCGCTTCTGTATATAAGGAGTTTTTGACCTAGTGTACAGATGGAGTCTGACGTTATTTGAAATAAATTACCATAATTTTATGGGTGTTGTTATTCATTGATATTCTCATGAAGTGAATCTTAATAATAAATACAGCTAGACGTCATAAATAGCGCCATCTAGTATCAAGTAAATCTTGTATTCGTATCAGAAAGCTGATACGTGTATTTTTTGTCTGTTATACAAACAGATATACCTAATAATATTTTCATTGGGAAAACTTCTTTTTCGAAAATTTACTGCCATATATATATATATTTAAAGTTACTAGCTCTTCGCCCGCTACTTAGTACGCATGTATTTCAGAAGCAGGAAAGCTAATGAAATAAACTACTCCTAGATGGCGTATCAAGATAAAATACATGAGTTTTTAAATTTAAAAAAATATAATTATGAAAGTCGCATCCAATTTTACGCAGTAGTTTTTACGTGATGCCAGATCAAATGTATAGACAGACAGACAAAATTTTTAAAATCGGTTGTTTTGGTTTTTATTGATCTTATTAAAATTACACATTATGTTCTTTATTAGTATCTAAACTATTTCTTTTACTGTTACTTATATAGTTATCTATTTTGTCAACAGAACGATGTGGCGCTGACGATTTCCGATGCTACAACGGCAAATGTATAGAAGGGAGCCGCCGCTGCAACCGCGTAGTTGACTGTGCATCTGGAGAGGACGAGAAAAATTGTGGTAAGTATTGTTTTTGTTAAAAGCTAGTATTTTTAAATAACTACATTTCATCTTCCATATATCTAACATACCCGTACCATAAATCTAATACCCGCATCTATAAAATAAGACGAACTACATTATTTAAGAATCGTTACTGCCCTTCTATTAATCATCATTTTCCTACCCTTATCCCAATTATTATTTAGGGTCGACATAATATGTTTTTTATCTATATTACAAAAAGATTTGGCTTATAGTTTTACAACCGGCCGCCTGCCTGACGTCAACTCTCTTTAGGAATCTCTTTGGGAATGCCCTTCTATTAATGCAACTGAAAAAAAAAATCTCTGCAACCACCTAAAAGTATTTATCTCTAAATATGTCTCTGTCCAGAAATAATATTTTTGATATTGACCAAGTTTCGCCTTATATAAAATATTTAAAAATATTCCTTACAGGTTGCACAAGCGACGAATTTCAATGCGACAATGGCAAATGCATCGAGATCAGGAAAAAATGTGACGGTGTGCAACATTGTTCAGATGGGTCTGACGAATTCGAATGTGGTAAGTAATCATACAATAATCAAATAGAAAACAAATCCTTCGTTCAATGGTGAACTCATTGAATTTTGTCTGCACATGCTAACTGGACATTTTTACGGTAAGTGTCTCGCATTTTGAACTGGTCTGGTCACCACGTATGCAAAGACAGGGGAAAATTTCGTTGCCGGGATGGTACATGCATATCTATACAGTTGCGTTGTGATGGGTATAGAGATTGTCCGAAGGATAACACCGACGAAATCGGTTGTCGTAAGTATTGTTACGTTGATCTGCACTGGCTTTGAATTCAAAGATTGTAGAAAGTAATAAGAACATTGAAACAAAATGTGGACTCGACAAAGTTGCATATTTCTATACATTACGTAGTATCGTCATTTTTCTTGTAAAATGTCTATAACGTTGCAATAATTTATTAAAATAAAGAATAAAGTTGCCAATCTTCCTTATTTAGTAATCGTGTGTAAACGAATATTATAGTAACATTACATTACAATGAATACTAAGCCAGCTGTAGTAAATTAAATTTCGTTGAATCTACTAATAAAGCTTTACTAAAAAAGTGCCTTTTAAAAGCATGCGGTTCAGATCAATGGCAATGTGATCATGGGTCTTGCATCCAAAAAAATAAACGTTGTGATGGACGAGTGGATTGTCCAACCGACAGATCTGATGAGAGAAACTGCATTGGTAAGACAACACCAGTATTTTATCACTTTGTCACTTTGATTTATTATTATATGCATATTTATCCACCCACTAATATTTTTAAACAATTTTGCAGCTTGTGTTTGGAATAGATAGAATAAGAATAAGAATAAAAGTTTCATATTTATTTATTATAGTATTAATTGAAACAATATTTAGTATAGATGTAGACGGTTCATATAAATTTTTTACAATTATTATATCAATATATGTAATGAATGAACTATTTTATTTTATTCCTAACAGAAATGTAATTATAAACATTGATTACCACTTATTCGTACTCACGGATTCTTTGTGTGTGTGTATTCAAATTGCATGATCTGAATGTGTATTCGAAATTTCACAAACACACTTTTGGACATAAATATGATTAGTTCTACACATCATTCCAGACTATGCACAATTTAGATGCAGTAGTGGCAAGTTAATTCCCCTAAGTAAACGATGCGATCGACAGTACGATTGTTCTCCTGAAGATTATTCTGACGAACAACATTGTCGTAAGTTTCATTCAAACAGGGGATCATGTTCAGTTCTGCTTTCTGTTTCTTTCATTTCCAGATTTCAATATATCTACTTCATTACATTACCTTACAGTTTTTCTTGTGGCCTTTTTGTCACTCATTATATTTTCTTCTGTTTTTCCGGTGATTTATTTGTCACTCTCATATTATGTTCACAGTTCTTTGTTTCTTTCTTTAATCATTCTACATTTGTATTATCTTTTTTTCCTTTTCAATCGTTTACCAAAAAAATCTTAACTGCTCTGTAGTTTTCTATCTTAAAAGTTTAGATGAGAATTAAACATTTTCTTTTACCGGTCAGCTTGTGATGACGATGACTTCAAATGTGACAATGGCCATTGCATACCTGCTCGCAAACAATGTGATGGATCGCATGATTGTCAGGACGGTTCTGATGAACGAAATTGCATTGATGGTTTGATTCTTAGTAATTAACTTTAATCAGTAACACAAAGGTGGTGGTCACAATATGGTCTCGTACGAGTACCTCCCTCGCATTCAATACACAATTAATTTAAAGAATTTTAACTTTAAATTAAAGGTGCTTGTTTATTTTAGATTCTGTATCTATTATTATACTGTTGCGATTTATATCTTTCATTATTTTGTATTAAATAATATCGTACATGTATTTAATATTATTTTATTCAAACACAATTTAACAAAATTTGAAATACAAATTAACAAAACTAAAGTAAGCACCTTTATTCAGTACGAGGATCACAATGTCTCAGAGTTGAGTATTTGATGTAGCTTATTAGACATTTAAGAGCGTTTCATACTTTTGCTTATCGAAGTGTAGCAACGTCAGTTTACAAACTCATTGAAGAATGTTCAATCTTTCTGATTGATTATTTATGAAAGTGTACTGCTAGTGACCTAAGACGTCGATCATTTTGTAAATAGTTTTTAGTTATCGAATTCCAAATTTCCATTGATAATCTTATCGCATAATAAACGTTTTGGTTTTTTAACAAAGTTACTTTTTAAATAATCAGTCGATTTCTTTTTTTTTAATTACTATTATATCACACTTGGGTAAAGTATAAATCATAGATTAAGCACAATACCTGGTATTCTCTTTCTAAGGTATAAACGCTCTTAATGTTTTCAGTATTAAAAACAATTAAGTATATCAGTATTTAAAATTATTTCCTTAACTCTCGTTGGCTAGACTTTATCTAGCGAAATTTAACTCATCATTTACTATAAGAGTATTATTACTTAATAAAATTTTACATCAGTCATTAGTTATTTTTTTTTTAATTATATACTCGTAGTTACTGCATCAGCCGCTTAAATTTTGCTTGAATGATAAATGCCTGGAATGCCATAAAAATATTTATAATAATAATGTACAATAATAATACTGATTCCAACTAAATTAAAATTTCGAATAGTATTATTGAGGGATTTTTATATACATGCAACTTGAAATAACTTTGTAAACTTACTTTCAAAGATGTTATTAATAAAAATCCTTCAGTAATATATTTATTATATATGGTTATGGTGCATTATATTATGGCAGGCTCAATATGCATGGCTTATGAATCTATGTGCACGAACGGACAATGCGTGCCAGCTGGCTCGGCCTGCAACGGAACTGTTGAGTGCGACGATGGATCCGATGAAAGGGACTGCACTTGCAAAAGGGGCGAATTCCGGTGTCGCGATAAATCTTGCATTACATTAGCAAAACGATGCGATTTCTACAGGGATTGCGCCGATGGTGACGATGAACTCGACTGTGGTAAGTCACCCAACCTTGCTCCATGTTTGATCCCTTTATTATCAGAGCGTAAGTGTATATTATGCCATGCATTTACTAGACAAATTAAATTAGCAGACAGTGACGGTTAATGTAACCAGCAACGTTTCAGAACGGTGCATTCATTATCGTCTATACCATTAGCAGAATTTGTACAAAATCGGTACGTTTGAGTACCTATGTCCTATTCTGTTTTTGCAAATCAAATCATATTTATTTGCTTGCTATATGATAAAATAAGATGTTACATATACAAGTAGGTAACATGCAGCAACCCGTAGAGGTATGCAAATAATAAACTGTATTTAGTCCCTAGATTTAAACCTAATTTAATATAAAATTGTTATATTAAAATTATAAAGTACAAATCTCTATCAAATACAATATTCTTTATATCAAATGACGCCGTGAAGTACCTAAGCTTACATGACTGTTTCGTTTTAAAAGGTAGGATATGGCGATGGAATTTCATTGCTATATCCCAGTCTTCATACAGAAACATAGCTTCTTCAATTCAAACATAAAAACTGTAAAACTCACCAAAAATATGTATATAAATCTTATATATAAAATTCTCGTATCACGGTGTTTGTTACCAAACTCCTTCTAAACGGCTTTACCGATTTCTATGAAATTTTGTGTGCGTATTGGGTAGGTCTGAGAATCGGCCAACATCTATTTTCCATACCCTTCAATGATAAGGGTGACTCTCCTCAAAAGAAAAGTTATTTTTTTTGACAATTTTTTCCATTTTTATTTTATTATGATTTAGCATTGATAAATTTTCATGTATAATTCTCAAAATAGCGTATATAGTAAAACAACGTTTGCCGAGTCAGCTAGTAAATATATAAATAACTGCTTTATTGCAGAAATACAATTACATACATCTTACGCTCTGCTAGTAAATACATGTGTATAGTAAAAGTGATGGGTTGTAAGTAATTAGAAATATATTTTTAATTGTATAAATGCAGAAAACAACGAGCAAAGGTTCAAATTGTTTTGCACGATTAGCATGTGCATGTTTCTTGCATGAATCTTAGAATATTCTATTAGACTTGATATGCTATCAATCCATAGTATAATCAATGAAATAATAGTCATCAAGTTGACAACTATTTTTTTTTTCTTGAAAAAGGTTGTGTAGATTTAATAAGTGTGTATCTATTTATTTTTCATCTCTAGTTTTTTATTTAGATATTTAATTATAACATGGGTATTTTTAAGTCAATCAATTTAGCAATACAAAAGTACGCTATTTCAAAAATTACCTATTGAAAAAAGGTAAGAATGTTTTCTTTGAATGTAACCAAAAAAATAAACAATAAAATATGCCAATCACACAGGGGATCTATGTTGAAAGTATTTCATGTGTTCTAATATTAATATTATTTCAGAAAACCGATGTCTCGATGGCCAGATTCCGTGTATTTCGTATGGCAATGAAATATGTTCCATTCCTTGCGACGGTAATCCAGAATGTGACAATCATGAAGACGAACAAAATTGTGGTAAAGAAGGTATGTTAAGTTTCTGAAAATTACATTGTTTTCTAGAGCACTATTAGACAGTTCTGATAATTTCAAGGCACCAATATGGATAGAGTATTTTATGTGGTTTACCTACATATATTTTTTTTAATTTTTTTTTATATAACGTAGAATGGCAAACAAGCTGACGGCCCACCTGATGGAAAGTGGTAACCGTCGCCTATAGACATGAGCAGTACCATGGACATAACAGAGTATACTGTTTCGCCCATGATACCCCCATGCATTGCCATTCCTGAGGACTCAGGTGTTATTCCTCTGTACCCAGTAAATTTACGCCATATTTGTATTCACCTTAGATTATAAAGCCTATATTGGTAATGTAAAAGAGAAAAAGCATTATGATATACACATGTTAGAACGAGATAAACAAATAGGACACTTACTCGTATCTACACAATATAAGCTCGAAGCTCATTTGACGATAGTATGAACTAAATAAGTTCTATTTATTTTTAATTATAAGGGAAAGTAATTGGTTTAAATTAAATGTGTCGTTTAAATAAAATCGCACATTTTTCATGTAAATTAATTTTTATTGCATAAACATTAATATCTCTTTTAAAGCAACATTATAGAAACATTACAACAATTTTATACAAAAATTGGTAAATAAAATAATTAATTAATTTAATCTGTGTAAAGTTTTAAACGTGCAAGAATTTAATTATAAATTATAACAAATACGTGAAAATTTGCTATTTTTTTGCAACTTTTCCATATAAATACAAAGCAACCACATGTACACATTTACAAAATACGAACACTAGTCTATTTTCTTGTCTCATTTTTCTAATTGCATTGCCAGTCTGCCAGTACTTATTGCCTTATATTACATTTATGGTGTACACAAAACTTACGGTAAATCTCTTTTGATATATTTTGGGTACTATCTTTAATCTATAGATAGATAAAATAATTTTTTTTATAAATTGTCTATGTCAGGGTATTTGGGAGGAGGCTGATAAGGTTTTTGTTAGAAGCAACATTACAATAGTTGTCCATGGTATGACAGGAAATTCTTATTCTATACTAGGAAAATTCGTATTCCTTCCATGATAATTAAATTAAAAAATAAACATAATATATTTACACTTTTTATATACACATATTTTGTTCTCGTACTGTTTTGTTTGTAAGACAATAGAGTTCAATTTTAAATTGAATATCATTTATAAAGCATGTTAATTATTAATATAACTGTAATATTATTGTATTCTATTTTTTTTATACAGTATTCTTAGAATTATATGTAATTATTATATTATATTGCAAGCTGTCAAATTTTACAAATATAATAATGTTGGAACTAGATAATATTTGTAGAAGATGGAAGATATTTAATCAAAATTAATATGAGTAGTATTTTGTTAAGAAGAATACTCGTAAATGCTAAAACAATATTTTTTAGAAATTTTGTTTGTGTGTCTGTCTGTGTGTTTATTCCAGTATCACGAAGAAACTACTATACACTTTTTACAATGGTGTTTATAAAAATTTAAAATCAATGGTAAATTACTTTTGATATAAATTCCATGAAATCGGCATTGAAATTGAACCGTTTTGCAGTCTTTAATTGCAATACTAGCGACGTAATGGTTCCATATTGTTCTGTTAAATGCGTGTTAGTATAACGTGCCAGTGTAAACTATTGTAAACCGATCCCAATTATAACCTAATTCCTAACTATTGTTTCGTGACTGCTATATATAATTATCATAGATAATAGATTAAATTGATATTGATATTACATTCAAGAGTAGACCTGCTGATGTATTATATCTTGATAGATACATCTTCTAAAACTGATCTATTTTCCTACCTCTTAAAACTAGGCGTACGAAGTATCAGTCAAAAAGCTAGTTTATTAAATGTTTCAATAGCATTCATTCGTTTTAAACTAATTTGTTTCCATTTTTTTTTATAATTTTACTACTATTGTTATCTAGTGATTTAACACACCCCTCCTTACCTTCCGATAGTCGCAGTTTCGATTTCTGTACAGTAAAATATTTGTATTTAAGAGTATGACTTTGTCCAATACAAAGTGTCGTCAACTAGTGTTGTAGTATCTAAATATATTCTATGTATAATATTTATATGTTTATAATAATAAGTATGTATTTTCCATAGTTCCAAAACTAAGCAAATCTTTGTTTACTTTGAAACTATGTAGCGTTGTGTAATATATATATATATATATATATATATATATATATATATATATATATATATATATATATATATATATATATATATATATATATAAAATAGTATATATTTATTTGTTTCTTCGAGTACACACGAAATGAATAAATTTCTTTACATATTTGCCAAATTACACTAATGCGAATTAAAAGCTATGCGAAATTGTTACACTATCTCTTGTATTGTGTGTTGAATGTTTTTATTATTAAATATATACATGTAACTTAATCGTATTGTTTTTAAAGATTGCATCCACCAATGTGACAATATATGTTTGGAACGTGAAAAAATATGCAACGGCATCCCGGACTGTTCTGACGGCTCTGACGAAAACGACTGCGATACATGTATTGGACCTGATGACTTCAGGTAACTGTTTACCAGTATCAATTTTAATTTTGCCATGTTCTTTTTTTAAATACTATATTATTACCCTTACATAGTCTATGCTCTGCGTTACGCGTAATTATTGAAGCGAATTACCATAAACGCAATATTCTTTTTTTAATTTAAGGCCTTTGCGAATTTGTTATTTTTTTAATGTGTTCGTATGAGTATTAACTAAACAGAATCTGTATGAGTCTCAGGATTTATGATGTATTTTATTTTGTTTTAGATGCAACAACGGTGAATGTATTAATCCCGTACTACGGTGCAATGGCTATCCAGAGTGCAACGATGGAAGTGACGAGGAGAATTGTAACACCACTATGATATCTAGATCACGTAAGTAATAATAGGTTTTGTTTTGCAAAAAATAATTTACTTCAGTCGTAACAGAATCAGTTATTTTGTTTTAAAAATCAATGAAATGTATACGGAACTAATCTGAAAGTACAACCTTTTGGATAAAAAAAAAATAAAGAATGTGATGCGTGATCTAAATGACGAAGTTATGTTAAAAAGTATTTTGTATCATAATATTATGACATGTGTCTGACTATTGTACTTCCAATCGTCATATCAGCCTTTAACTATCCACTGCTGAACATAAGCCTCCCCCTTGGGGGGTTTTGCCAATAGTTTCCACGCTTGATAGGTGGATTGGCAACTGTAGTTAAGCTTTGGAGATGTTTTAAGAGGGACGCTGCTGCCCATCCCTCGATTTCCCTTAGTCGCCTCTTATGACGCCTACGGGAAAGTATGGAGTGGCCTATTCTATGGCGGGACCATACGCCTAATAATATATTTCTAATGATATTAACTAAATACTGTTCATGTGTGTATTATAATCAATTCATTTCATTTATTTATCTATAGCATGTTTGTTATTTCAAATTTTAAGGGCTCTTGCTTTCTTCAGGTATATCAGGCCTATCGTACTCTGAATTGATATTTTAAATAAAGTTTTATCTACTTTCCCTAGACACGGTCAACGTTTATAAAAATTTTACATTCTCGTTTCAGGCGAATGCAACGAGAACCAAATACAATGCGGTGACGGCACTTGCATTGACAACCAATTTTTCTGTGACGGACACGAGGACTGTAACGATGGCACAGATGAAGAGAAATGTCGTAAGTATTATTTTTTATTTTCAATAACTACGAAGAACAACGTAAGGAACAAGGTCCGAAGCAAATAGTACATGAGAAGTTAATTAATATATACATAATTAGATCAAGTTGTATGTGTTACATGTGAAGCACAAAGCACTTTAATGCTTAACTATAGTTGCATTAAGACTATCACTCGATGTATAAATGTTGCACAATTTTATCGCACTACGTTATTACACCTTTGACTCAATTCCGTGCACTGTTTAGAAACTTTTCTTTTCCATTCACAAGATTTAGTCTTATGAAGCCACTAATAAACATTATTCACGAAATATAGAACACAAGGGTCACGGAAGCATCATGCCATCAAACATCTGTACCTATGAGATAGTATTTTGATTATCAAGAACATTTCATTTAACGATAAATACATTTTTACAACAATCAACATTCAAAACAGAACAATATGACGATGGTAATGAGTTAAATGGTTTACAATTGACTATAAATAGATTGCCTATTTTAATACTTAGTAGGTTGAGTTTCTAAATAAGAATGGTATACAGCGTGGTACATGGCGAGGCCATCCCGGTCTCCTGTACCAATGGAGCCCTGCCACGAATCAGAGTTCACCTGTTACGATGGACGGTGTATTACTCACTCGAGGCGCTGTGACAATATTTATGACTGTTTGGACTTCTCTGATGAGCAAAACTGTCTGAACTCTGGTATTAGAGCATTAATGATTATTATTGGAATGCTGAATGCGTGTTCGAACCTCCAGATATAGTCTACTCCTGATTTTAGTGATTAGGCGTTGTTACCATTCTCCATCTTATATATATATATATATATATATATATATATATATATATACCTGTATAGTATTTTGTTTTAATATTCACATTTCAATTTGGTATTCATGTACTCGTAGGCGTTGTTTCCACTTTCTGTATACCGATGGAGTTGTCGTACGCTATTTTTAGGCATGTTTAGATAAATTTATGTTTAGTTATTATGACAACAGCTAGTATTTATATTGTTGTTGTTTATGAAGGGCTCATTGAAGAAATCATTGTTTTAAAATGCATCCATTCAAACGCATGCTTGTTTACTTGTTATGTTTTATTTGTATTTTATTTTTGAGTTATTTTTTTATTTATTTTGTGTGATATTTATTTGCAGCGTGTAGAACCGACGAGTTCTCGTGTAGATCTGGTAAATGTATATATAAATCGCAGCAATGTGATAATCGTAGAGATTGCGACGATGGGTCAGATGAAGAAAACTGCGCGGACATTTTCGACGTGTTCACAACACGTCCACCACCTGTTTATACCACAAGAGGATACGATAACGGCGGCAGAGGATCAGCAGAAAGACTATATCCGGATGAAAGAGACGATTTTGAACCGCCACGTGGTAATCTTCCGTGGGAAACAGATGACTCATTGTATAAGACAACACCATTGTACGAAGTGCCTGAAACTTACCCGGGAGAATCGGAAGGAACTACACGTAGGTCATATGGAAGCTCTGAGGATGAAGGTCAACGAGGTCGACCATACAGACCGTATTATCCCTACTATCCTGGACCTTCCGTTCCCAATCCGCCTCAGGGAGAACCCAGGCCATACGATGGCGGCTCTTACCCTACCGGAACATACCAACCAGAGGAACATAGACCTTACCAAGGAGCCGGATCTGCAGATAGGGATCTTTATCCAAGTGGAACATCCCGACCAGATTATGACAGCGAATCCAGGTTTAATGCGGATCGTTACGGATACGGACAAACTGGCACATCATTCGGTAAGAACGTTTGTTTAAAAAATAAAATTCGATTTGAACGCCGCGCTGTGGCCATAATCAATTTCGACTAATTTTGAGGTCTTGATTTTTGGATGATTTACATTATTATCACATTTATTAGGAAAGTGTATTATAACTCATTGGATAGAATAGTTTTCAACTCATTGTAGTTCTAGACTGAAAATAATTATTTTCAAGATCCATAATTGTCTAGTTTTTTTTTTTTTTTATTATAATCAATAAAAAAGGATATGATTAAAATGTTAAGATTATAAAAAGCCATATTCTTTATAACTATAATGCCAAAGAGAATTAATAGAAGCAGGTGGCTCATGACCGCTCTTTATGGCTATCTATAGGGAAGGCCTATGTTCAGCTGTGGACAGATAATGGCTCAAAAAAAGAATTAACTGTGTACAAATACAGAAAAAGATTGATTATCTTTTGAATATTCTACTAAAGTAAATATGAAATTTTAATTTAATTATCCACATTTTCCTCGTAGATTTATTAAAATATTTTTATAGGTGTGATAAATTATTTGGTATGAATTTATGTAGGTTATGTACCTAATAAAGTTTGTGGCGATGTAAACCATTGAGCAAAAAATTTATTAAAACTATATTTTTGCTAAGAAGAAAAAAAAAACAATTAAACATAAATAACAAAAATAATAATAATAATGATATTAATTTTATGAACAATTTCATAATTTTGTAACAGTCAATTTTGTAATGCAGTCCTGAATTTCACAGATACGAAGAATTTCATGTTGATGCAAATAATTTAACAAAATTCATACCATGCCATGCTCATGCTAACTAATTCTATTGCGTAAATGTCACTTGAAACATATTGCAAAGGCTTCGATGCTGCCGAAACTGTCATAGTCTCACGGAAAGATCATAATATTACCAATAATTTTAATTTCACAATTTCACAACACTCATGTTGCTGAGATTAATTTATTCATGCATGAAATCAATTTTATATAATTAATTCAGCTTAAATAATATTAGTATAATTAAATGCAGTTTATATTAATTGATAATAAAACAAAATATTGCCACAGTATTTATTATATGCAGAAACGGGTATTTATTGATTATTTTTTTAATGTTACAATACTATTTGAATTAAAAATTATAATAGGTAAGATGTTAAATAAAATAAATAAATAAATGACATACATTAGTGTACGGGATTACCGGGATTTGGTGATTTAACATAAATACGGGAAAATAAAGAAGAGTATTGATTTTTTTTCGAATGAACAGAAATTGAAGAAATGTCTGTACTTTATTTTTATTGACGCTTAATGAGAAAATAATTACCTATAGTCAACGTCGGCTGTGCAAGGCATCAATGGCGTTGTGACGACGGATCTTGCATCGATGTGATTCGCCGTTGCGATGGACACGTGGACTGTCCGGATAGCGCTGATGAATATAATTGTCCCTCAGGCAGTAAGAATGACAATGAATGCTAAATTCGGACTTAATATTTAAAAAAAAATTATCAAGGAGAATATTGGCAAATTATCATTTTTTTGTTTTGTTTTAAGATAACTAGTATATATTAGTAAAATTAATAGTGGTTTCGTTTTATTATCTCATTTTTTTATTCACACAAATTTTGTAAACACTAGTAAAACTTTCTATCGCAGTACCGTAAATCGTTGCATCAAAAAAGTTACATAATTATTTTGCCAATTTTCTTTTGGAAAGAAAAAAAATCGTAAATAATCATTGTAATTGTCTTCGTAATGGTGACGGTTTTTAAACTTCCATATATTTATTCGTATAAAAAAATGTATTCGAAATAGTAATAAGTGTGACTAACACATTTTTGTAATTCAATAGTACTTAATTATACTTTTTAATTATACTAAAATCGTTCTTATTCAATTATTCGATGCTACAGATTATAACATATAATTATAGAGGAAAAAATATACATACTTGCAGATATTTCTATAATTGTTAAAGTTTTAAAAATTTTATTTTTTTTTTTGCTTTTATTATCTAATTAATACGTATTTAAAAAATTATCATTCATTTATTATGTGTACAGAGTTCAATATGGTAGTGGTTAATGTCGTACAATTAATTTTCCTGACTAATATTATTATATTATATATGTAATAATGATTGTATTTAATATTTACATAATTAAATCTAAAATCTTTATAGCGGACGCCGTAAAAAAGTAAGAGTATCAACTGATTAGCATGAATGCATGTTTTCTAGCAACTGCTCTATGCTGCGCTTATATAAATGAGGGAAAAAAACAGAATATGGAGGGATTTATTTTTGTTTTTAAAAGAGAATATTGCATTCGCAGATAAAAAATGTTTTATCTGAGATTTACCTCAAATAATTATCCGATTAATTTAATTAACATGAAGAAATTACTACTACATTTCAAAATAATATCGCTGCAAATAGATTGAAGGCCTTTTGTTTGGGTATCATGATTATCCCTTTTTGAGTTTTAGTCGGTGTTGTGTTATCATCTCAGTCGAATTATTTTTGAAATCTATGAATGCAATTCGTTTTTATGAAAAGATATAGAAAATTATTCAGCGGGTATAATTTAGTATTCTTATTATATAGTAATTTCCACCATGTACTGTTTTGTTCCATCAAGCTTATTTAAAATATTTATACATATAAAATTTTACATTTTCGCTTATCATCGAAATGCAATTCACGACCCTAGGTAGTTATTCCTTTTACTTAAATTATTAATTCTTTTCTATTAATGAATTTTACCTTTTTTTAAATGAAATACTCTATTGTTTAAAATATTTTAACTTGTAAATATAGTGACGATAATATACAATTTAATATTTTATTTACAAAATGCGCAGTGACCGATTCTCACTACGTTCTCTGCCGCCTAATTTACGTTGCACAATATGTAGCAAAAATCTAATTTCACGAAATTAATTTTATCAACAGCTTCACTTGTAAACCTCTAATTTAGAAATATACATATTAGTTTTATAAAACTAAAATAATTTAGTATTCTGTGCAGTTTTTTATTGAAACTAAAATAGTGTCCTGCAATTAATTTTATAATAGTGAAGTGTAATTAGTATAACGAAAATTTTGTTGCTTACATAACAAAGGAATCAGAAAAAGTATGTTTCATAATTTCTAGCTAATAAACTAGTTTTGTGAAACTAATTGTGCAATGTGAATTTGGCTTTATTAAATCACTATACGCATACAACTAAACAATATGTTTATATTTTCAGCACCTCCAGCTCTCAATCTTAAGACATACCCTGACGAACAAACAGTGAAATACGGTAAGTTATTTTTTTTATATCATAATTTATATGTCCTTTGACTTATTTCTATCGTAATTGTAATAATTAAAATAAGTAATTTATTTATAATAATAAAATGTTTGACTTGACAGAGGTCATATAAAAATGATCTATCAAAAAATACAATAATAATACAATCTATTTTTAACTAAGATTAAAAAATTACTCACTTATTCCCCAATAAAAATTTTTTCATTTTGGATTTAATCTATTTTTGAATTCCAAAATGTTTAATTAATAAAATATACTGCTGTTTTCATATTCTGTTAAAATAATTATAAACAGATATGACATTAAAATGCATTTTTTATAAATATATCCTGAACAAAAGGCATGGAAATCAGGTGAGCTTAAATAGTTAATGATATTCAAGATAGCGAAATTAAAAGATATATATTAATATTAATTTAAATTAGTCATACCGATGACAAAAAAGGAGTTTTACAACTCGTTTAAAACGAATTAAAAAACTCCTTTATTTACATCGGTGGAAAAGGAGTGATAATTAGATAATATGCTCAGTCATCACACAGACAATAAATTATATATATATATATATATATATATATATATATATATATATATATATATATATATATATATATATATATATATATATAGTTTCGTTACGGAAGTGTTATACATACTTTTTGATAACGTAACTTCTAATTTTAAGTTATTAAAAAATGTATGCACAATTAATAGTCACTCAACAAGTCAACTGGTTTTCAACTTACATGATACATACCGTTGCATTTATTAATGACTTATTTATTTTAATGTCTAAACACAGAAGGTATAATATCGGTGAGAGACCTGCGAATATTTAAAAATAAAAAAATATAAATATAAAATTAACTTATTAGTTATTTTACTCTACCTTTATATTTATATTATATATAGTAATTTAATAAAAAACTAACTTCAATTATTTCTATATTGTTTCTCAGTTATATTAGAAAGATAAACAGTGGTTGTGTTTAAAATTTAAGCAAATATTTAAATTCGTACAAATTAGGTAGTTGATATATACTACCTCTTAATACATATATAAATGTTTTACTGATTAAAATTCTATTTTTTTCATGGTGGTGGAACAGCTAAATATTATCAGGGTGAGTCGGTGTGCCTATATTTCCTTGGGTACCGATATTGCATTTTGGGCTCAGTTTGTATAACAAAACACATGAATTTTAATTACATATGTTTATTTGCATTAATCACCGAGTTTTGTTTGAATTACGATTTTTTATTTATAAATACATTCATTAAAAATAATCATCATTGGAATCGTTATAATGAATTCTCTTACTAATTATATCTACGATTTTTATGTATGCAGTTAATACCTTAATCGGAAAGAGAAGTCATTTGAAGAAAAAGTAATAGTTTTTCTTTTACTAAAAAAATGTGTTCATCTGTACTGTAAATGATTAATCACGTGAAAATTCTACACAGAATAGACTTAAGATTTTTTTTTGTTTTTATGTTACAACTCATTACGTATAATTTATTTTTGTAAAATTCGAAAAAGCGTGTAGGTACTTTCTTAATGATCCAGGGAGACAGTGATATGTATATTGTAAAGTAAGATATATATAAAATTATATATTAAATTATAAAATTAAGTTGATGCATTTTTACAGTACAGATGTATAATACAGAATCATAAAAACAAACACGCTGTAGATAGAGTAACACAACATTTTTTTTACTAATTTGTACAGTACTTCAGGAGCAGATGCATGACGTTTCATGGGTATAAATTAATATAAAAAGTAATCACATTATTATTAAAATGGATATTTACCCATTTTTTTTATAAAAAGTAAAACCTATTACAAACCTATTTTAATTGTTTTTGATACTTATTTGTGTATTAGAAATCTATTTTAGATATAAAAGGAAAACTGTATGAATAATTAGAATAGGTTTGATGTTTTTTTTTTTTTTATGAATAAGTGGTTACAATATTGGCTATTTTATTAAATACCATAATTTAACGGTAGAATCATGATTGAACAGCCATTAACGTTTCCATTTGTTTACTTGTATATTTGTCACTTAAGACAATAGAAGGTAAGATTATTATCATACTTTACGTAATACTACATTGGTACATTTTTCATTTTATTTTAATAAATTTTTAAGCAAGTGGTAAGGAGGTGGTAAAGAAACTCACAAATTGTCTCACATCCTTCATTCAAATTCCTGTATATTCTTTATACATTTATGTTCATTAACGTAATCCATTCCTTATAAATAGTGTTAGTATTCATTAATAGGGTCTCAAAAATTTATCTTTTTTCCTAGAAACAAAATTATATCTATTACCAAAAACTAAAAAAAGGATCAAAATGTTCGAGAACAAAAAAAAAAATACTTGTACATTGTACAAAAGAATTAACCTATTATTATGTAGTGCCGTTGATACATTGTTAATACAAATACATATTTTTTTATTTACTTTATATTAATTATAATATTATTAATACGTGAATTATCATATACTGTATAATATTAGTTGCACATACTATAAGAAAATAAATATATATACCATATAAATATAATATACCAGAGTGTAATTCAATCGTATTTTTTTTACATTCTACTATAAAAGTCTGAATAATTAATAAAACTAACATTATTACATATTAATTATTACCATAGGAAATATGGTTTTTGTTTTGATTTTATGCTAAATGACTTTTATTGCCCATATTTATGACCCCTCATTAATTTTTCTTAAGTATCTCCTACTTTATTACACTTTTTTAATTTATTATATTAATAAGATAAATATAATAAATGGAGGAAACAATAAAGAGTATCTATCTATCTAACTTAACATAACATAACAATTATCTATAGAAATATTTATCTATTTATTTTAAATTATTAATATCGATTACTGTGCAGCGATCTGTGATTTAGAATTGATGAGAATCAATTAGATAGATCGGATTTTATTTACATAATAAAGAAATCATTTCATTACCATTTCATACGTAAATAATAATTTAGTTTTAACCATTACTCGCATGAATCTTAATTAATTAGTTATAATGATTTTATTTGGGGATTCAATAATTAAATTATCATTTTAACTTATTATTAGACTGTGCGTTTATAACTAAAAATTATATACATATTATGTATATATGTATAAAATAAATAATATTTAAATTATATAATTATGAATCTTATATCTTATACAAAAAATTTGATGCACAAGTTAATTCACCCATCAAATTATCATAAACACCTAGAGTTAGTACTAATCGAACTATTGATTTTCATAATTGGGTAAAATTTTGGGTATCATTTTCTCCGGTGGGTTATAGACTAATTTTAGCATGACACTGATGCAATATAATGATTATTCAAGGTGGTGACGTGGTATTCCGGTGCAGAGACGAAGGGCCCCAAAGAGCAGCTGTTAGGTGGGTTAGAGAAGGCGGTAAATCACTGAAACCTGGCGCCACGGACAGGAATGGACGGCTCGAAATAAACAAAGTTACTGTAAGTGACAGAACACCCATTAGTAGTTTAATTAATGATATAACCGTGTTATACTTATTCAGTTTATTGGAATTAACAATAGTAAGTTAATAATTAGACGTAGGTGACATCATCATATCATCATATATCAGCCTTTAACTGTCAACCTTTGAAAATAAGCCTTCCCCTTGAGGGGTTTTGCCAGTAGTTACCACGGTTGGCAACCGCAGTCATGCTTTAGAGATGTTTATGAATTTACTGGGTACAGAGGAATAACACCTGAGTCCTCAGGAATGGCAACGCATGGGGGGATATCATGGGCGGAACAGTATACTCTGTTATGTCCATGGTACTGCTCATGTCTATGGGCTATGGTTGCCACTTTCCATCAAGTGGGCCGTCAGTTGTTGTTTGCCATTCTAAGTTGTATAAAAAAAATGTTTTAAAAGGGATTTTATTGCATATATCTCGCCCTCCCTTAATCGTTTCTTACGAATCCCACGAGAAAGGGGCGGCCTATTTTTTTTCATCTAAAGTAGATGTTGGTGACATAACACAAATAAATAAATAAATATATATTATATATATCACATAAATTAATGAATAATTAAAAATATCAACCATGCTTGTTACTTCGCTTTTTTAAGATAATTTTACGGCTTTGGATAGTGCCTTTTACTATCGTACTTGTGGAGTAGTGATATGCCACACAAACTTGTGACATAAATTGTCAAACATTGTTTTTGGCATAATGTTGCCAGTTTTACGCGTAGACAGTAATTATTATGTGTTATTAATCTAAATACATGCTGTTAAATTCACAACAATATTTCTGTAATATAATAACTTCATTGAACACTCATAATGCAGAAATCAAAAGATGGATTTAATGCTAAGCTAAATAGCGTTTTATTCTAGCCAAGCTTATAGCCTTTTTTATATGCTTGCATGGCTGTGTTTCGGTTTGAAGGGTGGGATATGGCGTGAATTTACATGGTACAGAGGAATAACATCTGAGTCCTCAGGAATGGCAACGCATGGGGGGTATCAAAGGGCGAAACAGTATACTCTGTTATGTCCATGGTACTGCTCATGTCTATAGACGACGGTTACCACTTTCAATCAGGTGGGCCGTCAGCTTGTTTGCCATTCTAAGTTGTATAAAAAAATATGTGTTATAATATAGTAGAAAAAAAAAATATTATACCTATTTAATTTTATTTATTATGGAAACATACAAATAACATAGTACATATAAATAAACATACTCAAACCTTCTTTTCAGACTGCGGACAGCGGCGTTTACATTTGTCAAGCTGTTAATTTCTTGAGTTATCCTGGATCAGAATTACGCGTTTCGTTAACAGTAGACAGAGCTGGTTAGTTAACATTGAACTCTTTTGTTTTTTTTTTTATTGCTATTCTTAATTTGAAAGCACCTGAAGAAACTGTCGTGAGAATTCAAAATGGGTGTGTGGAAGATCTTTGTCTCTACAAATAAGCTGGTTAAAATACATCAGCATTCTTAATAATGTAGCATGTTTATGGTAAACTATATTTAACGTTTATTATAATTATAACTTTACTTATTTTATAGGCGTGATATTTATCGTGATTTTATGCGATACCGATGTTTCAACGCTGAATAACAGCGAAGAAGCGCTGCGCGTATCAATTGTCGTTCTTAAATTAAATAATATATATATGGTCTTACTAGAAAAGTAATTTTAAACACTACCTGTGTAAACAGTGTTAAAACTCTGTAATTAAACATCGTTTAGTCGATATAATATTTTTATTTGCAATTTTGTATTATCAAATTCGTAAATTAACATACTGAAACGTCCTATTTTACTCTCAGCCGTGATTTCCCAAAATAACACAGCATGATATTTCAAAAAAGAAATAAAGAGGTTTCTTCAAGGCTACGGCAACCACTTATCATCAGGCGGGCCGTATGCTTGTTTGTCATCTTATTTAAAAAAAACGTTTAATTTTTAATAAGATAAAATTATTTCGTTTGAAAATTTCTAACGCATGTGTAATTATGAACAGTACGATACCCTTTTGTGGTGACTTGTAAAGTTTTAAACAAACCACGACGTAAGTTTAAAACGGCGTTTCTTATAATTTCCAGTGGCGACCGCACCCCCGCCGTTCCCAAGCTGTCGGCCAAGTGAGGCAACGTGCGGCAACGGGCAATGTATATCCAAGTCATTGGTCTGCGACGGAAAGCCTGACTGCAGTGACGGCTCTGATGAAGACAGCTGCAGTATGTATTTATTTATAATCGATGTAGCACCAGAGGGAGACTTTGTTCAAAAGTCGATTGCTTAGGTACCTCTGTCCCATTCGTGTTTTTACCGTGAAGCAGTTGTGTTTGCATGACTGTGTTTCGGTTTGAAGGGTGGGATATGGCGTGAATTTACAGAGTACAGAGGAATAACACCTGAGTCCTCAGGAATAGTAACGCATGGGGGGTATCATGGGCGAAACAGTATACACTGTTATGTCCATGGTACTGCTCATGTCTATAGACGACGGTTACCACTTTCCATCAGGTGGGCCGTCAGCTTGTTTGCCATTCTAAGGTATATAAAAAAACGTCGTCTTCTATTGATTCGAGTACGTAATATTAAAATATAATTATAGAATATTTTATCTAGTTTCCATACTGAATTCCCTGTTTTTTGCTTTTATAGCTCATCAAGGATTATGCGAACCAAACCAATACCAATGCGGGAACCGTCGATGCGTCCTCAAGACCTGGGTGTGTGATTCGGAAGACGACTGTGGCGATGGGTCCGATGAACAGAACTGCGGACCACCTGACCCTGACCGACCCTGCTTGCCAGTGGAATTTACTTGTGCTTCGAACCAGTGTATCCCCAAGAGTTACCACTGCGATAGCGTCTTTGACTGTTTAGATAAATCTGATGAAATAAGCTGCGGTATGTCATATACTCGTAATTCATATAAAATTTATTATTACAAACTAGTTGATCCTTAAACTTGGTAAAGGTCCAAACAGGCACATCAATTTATAGCCGTTATTTTTTAATCTCTATATCACACTAAAGAAACTATTATCATTTATAACATAAGACTGTTTAGGCAAAAAACATATAAATAAACTACCAACACGCATACGATGTATTTGATAAAAAAATATTTAAAATAAAAAAAATCACATGATTACGAAAATACTTCCAAAATATTATAAAAGTTCTCATTCTTATTTTGAAATATCTAAATATTATTAGTTTATGTTAAAAAAATACTGGTCACTGAGAAGTTATTGAAAATTCCAAAAAATAAAATACTGGCCACTAATATGAAACGACTGCTATTAGCGCATTCATTGCTTTAAAAATATATATATATATATATATATATATATAATAAAAGCGCGGGCTCACGTTTATTATTTTTTAAGGAATGTTTTGTTTAAATTTTGTCATTATATCTATGAATTTTCGAAAAGAAACGGTGCTGACGGTTTACTCCGATATTTTACCATTAGTTGCTTTGTGATTTTAGCGAATAGATCTATGATAGATACAAATTCGAATTGAGCATAAAATGTACTCTATTACTTATCGAAAAGCGATGAGGACTTTTTTCCATCAGTGGTTAATTTAACAGAACTGCGTTTTGGTAACAATAGAATTTTAAACCCGATAAAATATATAGAGTAATAATAAATCAACCTACTCTGTATAGTTACTTACTTTTTAAATAATTAATATTATAAAGGCAATATGAACCTTAACTTTCAGCTCCGGTATACATCACCAAGCCTCCAACTCCTGGCGTGGTGCATCTTGTCATTAACGAGACCCTAGTGTTGACTTGCTCGGCTGCTGGAGTGCCGACTGCCATGATATCCTGGAGACTGAATTGGGGGCACGTGCCTCCCCAATGTGTATCTGTTAGCGTAGACGGAGAAGGTACCCTCACATGTCCAAACATGCAGGTCAGTTAAAATTGAGTAATTGTTTTCCAAATTTAAAATAGCAAATAATTATTATGAAAAATAAAATCACTTGACAATAAAAGAGAAATTCTAATGGATACGAACCAAAACCTAAAGGAATAAGTAAATATAATTTATATAAATTAAACGAATGAAATAAATATATGTGTTTAGTATACTACTAAACAGATACATATTGCTTCATTTGTTTAATTAAAAAATAGTAACTTAAAAATATCTTAACCGGCCGGTGTCATGGATTTTCCGATATTATGTTGTGTTCCAACATATTAATTGTCTAGTTTATTAAATCAATGGGTAGTATACCTATGAATACAAAAAATACAAATACCCATGCTAAACAAACAGATGATAGATATCATTGCATATGCATAGTTCTTAATAAAATAAAAAATAAAAATTAATTTGACACCATTTAAGTTTTTAATAATTTAATTCTATTTTCATATTTTTTAAACACAAAGCATGCTGTGATTGTCTCTAAATGTAAGAACAGTAAGCCGCAATCCACTAGTGTTATGTATCGAAATGTTTAGCTGTATTTTATGTTGGTGATCCTAAATAAATAAATAAATAAGTATTACTAACTAACGATAGTTATTATTAAACAATCACCGATATATTTTATGGGATATATGTTTCATTTTGTTATTTAAAGCCTGAACACAGCGGCGCGTACTCTTGCGAAGCTATCAACAACAAGGGAGCCACGTTTGCGACACCAGACGCCATTGTATTTGTAAACAATACCAACGTTTGTCCTAGCGGTTACTTTAACAGGTTAGTAATTTATACTTCTATACTAATTTTATGAATAGGAAACATCTATATGTTTGTTTATAATGGATAAACACGAAAACTATTCAATTGATTTTAAATATTGTTTTCGTCTTCTGAAATTTTCCACTTTTCTGGTACAGGCGGGTAATTTTCATGACCATCAGTAAATGAATGACCAAAGTAAATACAAAATTGTATACAATTAAAAGATTGTGTTGCAATTCAAAATGACGAACAAGCCACTTAATAGAAAGTGGTAACCATTGCTTATAAGATATAAACAATACCATAGATATTTCAGAACACATTGTGACTCTTATAGCACTCATCAGTCGTTGCTATTGCTGACGACTATGGTGTTTTGCCATTCTACACTGTAATTTCTCTGTCACATTGTAGCCTTCAAACCAAAAGACAATGGCATTAAGCTCGCCACTTGTACAAAGTTTTATTGTGCAATAAAGAATAAATGAATAAATATAAATAAGGTTAGTTCATTACGCACACAGCTGGGACAGAGGTATCCAAGCAGATGACTTAAGTACAGAGTTCTCCTCTTCTAAAATGGTTACCTAAATTTTAATTTGCAGCGATGCTCGTTCGCCATCTGACTGTATCCGTTGCTTCTGCTTCGGCAAATCGACCAATTGCGACAGTGCCCAACTTTTCATCTACAACATGCCATCTCCCTTGGGTCAAGGAGGCACCAGGCTCGTGGGCATCACTCTGGGACCGAATGGCGAACCTGAAATCGATTCTCAACCGATCACCGACCAATATTACTATCAACCTCTGAGAAATGGTGCTACGGTAAGCTATCGACTATTATATTGTCTAAAAAACTGTATACTTACAAATGTTATAAAACAAAGATGTAATGCAATTTAAGCTGACATACTTTAAAACATCATGTGCATTGGTTATTTCCATAATCATCGTCATATCAGCTGTTAACACCACTGAACATGGACCTTCCCCATAAGGAAGTTTTGCTATGCTTGGTAGGCCTAGTGGTAATCGCAGTTAAGTTTTTGGTGATGTTTTAAAACAGACGCTGCTGCCCTATTCTCTACCAATAAGTTCTCTTAGTCACCTCTTACGATGTTTAAAGAAAAGGAAGGGGTAGTCTTTTCTGTGCCTTGGCCACACGGTTTTTGACTTACCAACAAATGAAAGCAGTAATCTCGTCTTGGATTCAAATATAATCGGCAAAATGTTGGCATGTGAATTATAACATTTTTCGTTACAGTAACAGTCGATAAGTGTCTCTAACTACACCAACAATTATTTTTTAAAATCGGTCATAGTTAAAATTTAATCGAAAACCCTTTTTTACAATCGATTTAAAAAAGAAGAAGGTTACATACATACATACATATCTGTCACGCCTGTCTCCCATTAGGGTAAGCAGAAACAATGCTTCAATTCAAACAAACCTCTTTCTATCTTTCCACATTCATCAATCTTTTCATACATGCTCGCCGGTTACGAGTACTTTTAATTTGGCCCTACTTCAGCATGTCGCCTGCTTGGTAGTATTTTTTTTATATGTTTAACTTATAACTCCGTCAGTTGTAAATCGATTTTGAAAATTCTTTTTTTATCGGCTCACCTTTGAGTTAAACTCACTTATAAGTTTAATCTCATAGACGTTTTATTAAAAACAGTGCAGTAGTTTAACTTTAGAAATAAAAATAACCGGTTTTGTCACAATTGAAGATGATTTTTTTGTGGAACACTTTTGAAGTTGAGTTGGGAGTTAATATAGTAATTTGTAATATTCACGGTAGCCTAATACGGGTGACACGGTAAGTCTAATAGATTTCTTTTCAACAAACAGGTAACCAAGTTGCAGAGATTCGATTCCAGTTGGGGTTACGGCGATGTAGCACACCCATATTTAACTTTACCGGCGTCATACAATGGCAACCAGCTCACTTCTTACGGTGGCCACATCACTTACCAACTGGCCTCGCATTCTTCTGGCGGTAACTTTGACAACAGCATGCCTGATATTATTATAAAGGTGAGTTTAGATGATCCTATCATAGTACGCATCAAAGATTTTCATATAACTAAACATCTCCCCAATGTTTTTGCTCGAATAATTCTTCAAAGTGGAATTTGAGGAAGTCATTATTGGTTTTATATATTTCGTAGTTTATTTAATGTTATGAATACATTTCATGATAGGAAAATCCCGTCCATAACTAACATATCAAGCTGGTTTGTTTTCGATATTAGGTAAAGACTCATATCTATTTATCATCATGCGTTACATGGATTAGATTTAGATAGAGATTTTAATAAATGATTATGTCCCTTGGAGATTTTTTAAAAGATGATAAAGGATTTGTAATCCTGTCTGTGCTATCGGTATACACTGGGGAGTCACCATTGAGTGATGATAGGTGAAGATGAAAGTAGATCAGTTGGCCCATCGTGACTAACACGATGGTTTCCAGGGGGAACCGCATGGAGGTTGACCTGATAGGGTATATTGCTAACCTGTGTATAAATGATATCTTTTATTTTGAAAATTAATATTATTCTAATGTAGTAATAAATAGTAATAGCATACTAGAGAGTATATTAACAAAGGCATCATCATCAACAGGGCAAATATGAGACTCTCATTTACTACCAAAACGGTCCAAAGGAAACCATATCGACACGTTTTGTGCCAGGAACTTGGGAGAAGACCACATCCAGAGGCAGGGAACAAGCAAACCGCGAAGATATAATGATGGCGTAAGTTATTAATTATTATATGTAGTAAAAAAGAGAATAATTTAAAATTTATTGTCATTGTTTTTTTTTTGTTGTGATGTCTAAACTTGAGAAACATTCAAAGAAAAGATTTCACTCATAAAATAGATATTTCATAATATCAATAAAGAAGTTCTGGATTTTTCGAAATCATTATGCATTTGCATGCATGCATGCATGCAAGTCTAGAATCATTTGTCTCATTTCATATAGTACAGGACACACAATAAATATTAATAATATCACTGCAGCTTGGACAATGTTGAGATGATCTTACTTCGAGCTGACTTGAACAAAGCTGGTGTCAACATAACTGACTTCGTAATGGAATCTGCTCAGTACATCAATGCTGGCCTTGGTCCTGCTAATCTTGTAGAAGAGTGCAAATGCCCACCAGGATATGACGGCCTTTCTTGCCAGGTATGCAACTAGTCTTCTTTGTTATCAAATTTTTGATCAAGGTAGGAATCTCTTCTTATTTTCGATATCAAAATAGTTTACTTAAGTTATTTTCAACACAACGTACATCTGATCGTATCGTTACATACACTCGATTTTTTACTTCGATAGCTTCAAAACATACAACAAAATTTCAAGTCACTGTAATAACAGATAATTCTAATGTATATATCTATGTACGAGAGTAATCTAGCATATCTTCTATCTAGTTTGAATTATTTTTAATATAGTCAAAGATTGTCTTTTTCTTTTTAGAAATGCGCTGCCGGCTATGAACGCGACAAGTCAGGTCCTTGGCTCGGAAGCTGTGTACCTGAACGCAGAACTTGTCCTCCAGGAACATATGGCGATCCAAACAATGGCTATGCATGCTCCCCGTGTCCTTGCCCATTAACTTCCCCATCCAACCAGTTTGCTCGCACTTGTAGCGTTGGATCAAGTGGTAGAGTGCTCTGCGATTGCTTACCAGGGTATGTATATTATATTCAATTAGTTCTCATTATAATAATAAATAGTTTAATAGTAATTCTTTTTCAAAAAATTGACAGGATATCAGATTCCGCCATATTTGAAGCATATTTTACTGACCAAAGAATATTTTTTTAGCTACGAAGGTGATAACTGTGAACGCTGCGCTCCCAACTATGAAGGAAACCCACTTATACCTGGTGACTCCTGTAAGAGACGTCAAGAACCTACATGTAACCCATGGGGAACCAGCCAAATTAGATCACTCGACGATTGTGTATGCAAGGATAATGTGGAAGGCAGATATTGTGATCACTGCAAGAGTGATTCCTTCTTTCTCTCACCAGACTTCAGGTGGATAAATTATTTCTTAAAACTTCGTTTCTAGTATCTTGAATACTGCTACATACTCTGAGATATTTAATTACCTTTACCAATGTAACCCCCTCCCCCCCCCCTCTATCAGAGTACACACTCTTGCATTGTTTCAAGATTGAAAAAAAAATTCTAACAACTACAAATTTTTACTATAAAAAATACAATGGTAAAGAGAGAATTGAGGCGATTCAGAGATATATACAAAATGTACGTAAAATAGTCGACAGACAAATAGATATAACTATTTAATATACCTGCCTTCACCATAACCCACATTTATTTAGTTAATATCAATGTGAACTTTCATTACTACTAGGCTCCTATGACTCCTAAATCAGTCTTTTAATAGTTAGAATATTGACATTTGACCAAAAGAAGTTGGTACACGGTATGTATATCACACATTTTTTACAGGCATGGCTGTGCATCTTGTTTCTGCTCTGGTGTTACTGAAACGTGTACAAGCAGCAACTTCCGGCGCAAGACGACATATGTGGTCTTCAATACTCCTCAAATCATCAACCAATTGACAACTTACAGCAGTACAGCATCAGGCTCATCTCCTTCCCCGAGATATAATGCACCAGTATCAACTGTTCTCGATATAACTGCAGAAAGCGGAGGCGCAACAGCTGTAGGCCTGTCTGGCACCCAGCCAACTGTTTACTACTGGAGTTTGCCCGCTAGGTATAATATGAACGATTCTATAACTACCTAATTGCTGTTCTCTCTATAGAGCCTTTACAAAATATCGTGTGTATGAGCATCTCTGTTTCAATTATTTCAGGCTTTAAAAGTTTTTGTATTAAGTACCTTTATTCCACGTCCGTATTCGTCGCAGCCACAGGCCACCTTTTTCTTTCCCATAGGTGTCGTAAGAGGCAGTAGCGTCCCTTTTAAAACATCTCCAGAGCCTAACTGCGGTTGCCAAACTGCCTGCTAAACGTGGCAACTATTTGCAAAACCTTCTAAGGGAGATGCTTATGTTCAGCAGTGGACAGTTAAAGGCTGATATAATTACCTATATTCCAACATAAAGAGTGAGATATGACAGTAAAAAACAGGGTAATAAGCACTTAAAATCTTTAGTGTCAACATCGCACAAGTTACGTTGCAAGTTCGTGAGCTAGTACTTACTATAAAGTATACCGTAAACTGCTATACTGTTTGTAAATAATAATTACCATCAGCTGAGTTTACTATTTTGTTATTACTGATAGCGTGAATTTACTGGGTACAGAGGAATAACACCTGAGTCCTCAGGAATGGCAACGCATGGGAGGTATCATGGACGAAACAGTATACTCTGTTATGTCCATGGTACTGCTCATGTCTATAGGCGACGGTTACCACTTTCCATCAGGTGGGCCGTCAGCTTGTTTGCCATTCTAAGTTGTATAAAAAAACAAAAGTTTAGGAAAAATATTTTAACCTGCTCAGTGAGTGTTATATTTTAAAATTGACGCAAATAACAAATAATTTATACTGACAGTTTCGCTGGGGACAAGGTGACATCATACGGTGGATACCTGCGCTACCAACTGAGAAATGTACCATACTCCAGTGGCTACAGCCTGAGTGACAAAGCAGCTGACGTTCAGCTAATCAGTGTAAGTTGCATCTCCAAATACATTTTCTCTAACGTCTGTATCAGAAAGAACTAATATTATATAATTGACCTCTTATTTTTTCTCTTGTGTTTGAATTGGGTACTATAATATGAAATATAAGAAATTTAAATAAATAATTTATGATTATTACAAGAAGTATGTATTCATTGCAGGACAATAGATTGACTTTCCATTACTTTGGAGATGTACGGCCTGCGAGTGATGGTACCTTGAACGTCAGCGTACAGTTCTTCGAGGACAAATGGAAGAGGTGATTATAATATCGCAATATATTAGTAGCAAAATTAATTAAACTAATTCTAAGTAAGTAAGACGTTCTCGCACTAGTGTATCCAAATATTTACTAAAGGAAGATTTTGTCAAAATGTCTCTGTTTCATCCATGCTTCTGCCATGAAACAGCTATGCTTGTATGGTTGTGTGTTGTTGCATGCTTTGATTTGCAACATGTTTTGAAGGGTGGGATATAGCAATGAAATAATACGATACATAATACTTTAGTTCTCAAGAGCGGCAACACAAGAAAGATTTCGCTATCATAGGTATCATAGAGTATTAATGACGTCCATTAAGCTGTTCATGTCTATAAGCGATGATAACCACTTTCTATCTGATGGAGCATTAGCTTATTGTCCATTCTAAGTTACATAAAAAAAAAGATAATGTTGATGCGTAAACTACCGATAACGAAAGAGGTACAATATGGAAGTGGAAGAATACAGGTACTGGAGAGGTTTAAGCTGAATGTGACTTGATAAATCTTATTATTCGTAAAGTATTTAACCTAGTTGATCGTTATTTAAACAGGTAACAATCGAGTCGTTGCTTATTTGTTCTTGATAAATAACAACATTTGGGAGCAACGTCGGTAGAATCATGATAAATTAACAATTTAAAACAAATTGCAAACAAATCTTTGTGAAATACAAATCTATCGATCACAACCCATCTTGCTAGTATACTGATGTTAAACTAATATTCACCTCTTATGTAAATAGGTAAGGAGAAAACAATAAGAAACTAATTCTGTTTTACAGAACCGATGGCAAAGATGTACCAAGAGAACAGTTCCTGCTTGCGTTAGCTGATGTAAAAACAATCCTAATCAAGGCGACGTACAACGACGAGCCTCAATTGGCGATCATTGAAAGTGCAAGCATCGAGACTGCTGAGGATAGTGGCACGGGCGAAGTGGCCTTACATGTGGAACAATGCGACTGTCCGCGAGGCTATATCGGTACCTCCTGCGAAGACTGCGCGCCTGGTTATAAGAGGTTCAATTACAAATATTACTTTTTAATTTATTTAATTTCGAATACACCGAGTACAGCAATGTGCTTGCCCGTAAAGTTATATCGATACCTTCTGTGAAAACTGCGCGCCTAGTGGTTTTTTCTTATACAATATTGGTTCAAATTTAGATACTAGGCACATCAAAGCACTTATTTTACTGAATTAGGTGTTATCTTGCGGAAGTCCATATCACTGGTTATTCGATTAAAATTATTTCGTTTAATTCCGCTACCATTAGTATGTGTGTAACTATTAACACTCGAAGATAGGCCACAACTGTTATTACCAGAAGTTTCACCACCTTCCATATTAGCTATCAATCTCCGACTGCCATTTCGTTCATACACGTTTTGCAAGAAGTGTTTCATCTCTAAATGAGATATCTTCAGGAAAATTATTAGATTACTACTTGGAGCCTACTGTTAACCGTTCAGCACCCAAACTGCAATCAATATGCTCATCGGCAGTGCCACATAATAAAACCAGTATCTTCTGTGAGAATATCTTGCGTTACAGGAGTATACAAATTGGTTCATTAATTATATATTTTGATTCCCTTTATCGCAATTTTGTTTTGACCGTAGTTAGGTACGTCAAAAATGGGTTTAAGTACTTATTACTTAGGAATTATGTTAATCTTGATAATCTAATGGGTCTGTATTACGAAATATTATTAATATGACTTTAAAATGCAGATATTCTCGCGGCATCTACTTGGAACACTGCGGCCCTTGTGAATGCAGTGGACACTCATCAATGTGTGACGCCGATACTGGAGTTTGTTACGTAAGTATTTAATTAATCATCCTTTTCCATGATAATACCCAGAAATCAGGTCAATTACCTCATAACATCGAATTTAAAATATATAACCCGTAAGAAGAGATTTCTAAAAGTAGTCATGCCAAAAACAAAAAATTTTTGGTGTGAATTTTTCTTTAACTCTTTTATTTAAGTGGTGCGAATGGAATGATAGTACCGGTTGATATAAGCGGAGTACCAGTAAAGATTACTAGATGGGGATGAAATCAGGCCAATTTGTTTAACTACGACGATTTTATGGGAAGACAATTTCACAATTAGCAATAAGGCCATTAGATTCTATTACTGATCACTCTCCTACCTCGCTCTCGCCCTTTCGCTCTTTCAAATTCAGTTATTAAAAATATTTCCAATTTCATGGACACTAAACGAAGAAGAGAAAAAGTTTTAATTATTAAATATTTTTTTATTTCACTAAAATTGCAAGCAAGCATACAGCTCGTCTGAGGGTAAACGGGTAACTGTAGTCTATGGACACCTGCAACATTAGAACTCAAGTGTTCGTTACCGACACTGAAGAAACCTTAATATATTCTCTTTTTGAAGAACTCCTATAATATTTCTAGGGACAATCTAAGCAATAAAAGTATTATGTTTATAAATATAAGTGGAGAATTCTGAATTATATTACAGAACTGTCAACACAATACATACGGCGACAACTGTGAACAATGCAAGCCGGGGTACACTCGCGACTCGAACGAGAACTGCATCGCGTCATCTATCGCGCCACCTTGCACGTAAGTATTGTTGAAGGTGAAGTTATTTCAAAAATATAGTTTGTTTCGATAGACTTTAATTAAAATGTAAACAAATCTTTGATGTAATTTAGTATCCCGCGACTTAGACTTATTCCTTCTAGAAGGCATAGCTAGTTAAGTAATCAAAATAAACTCTAATCTAGTTCATACTTACACATTCAGTTATCGCTAATTTGTAACAGAAAATAATGCACGATCTAGTTAAATTTGCCTGTCTACCGCTTTTTGGATTAATACAAATCCAAATATTTTATGAGTCTTTGGACATTAGGTTACAGTTTGTCTTTTATAAACGCTTTGTGTCAATATTAATTTTAAATGCAATGTTAATACCGATTTCAATATATTAATCCTTTCTAATATTATAAACTGTTAGCAGTGGAGTTCGACAGCCCCATTGCTAGCAATATGCCCTATTAGGTCGACCTTCACGTGGTTCCCTCTGGAAACCATCGTGAACAATTCTTGTTGAATTCATCACGATAGGCTAATTGATTTGCTTTCATTCTCATCTATCATCACTCACTGGTGCACCGCCGGTGTATACCGATAGCGCAGGCGGGGTTACCATTCCATTATCATTCGTTAAAAAAATTAAACTAAAGTTTAAAATGCATTATTGCTATTGATCAGATAATACTAAAAAAAATGTTTTAGATGCGACTCCCGCGGCCAAGATGGCCCATGCGACGTGTACGGCAATTGTCAGTGTAAACAAAATGTAGAGGGCGCCGCTTGCGACCAGTGCCGCCCTGGTACTTTCGGACTGGACGCTAACAATCCTCAGGGCTGTCTCTCTTGTTACTGCTCCGGTGTCACAACAGAGTGTCATGAGGTAAAACACCATAATATTTGGTCTTTTTTTAGTTCACCTTTTTCTATCCCGCTTATTGACTCTATACTTCAGATTTCTTGAATTTCATATTGAAATTCAAATTGAACTTTTTATATTATAAATTATTAGCTCATAACTTTTTTTTTATATTTTAAATTCCTGTTATGAAAAGCTAAATACCCACCCTGCATCATGTTTCTGTATAAGAAAGATGACATGCCATCCATAGATTAGATTCTATATTAATCATTCTCGATTGGGTTTAGTGTAGGTGACTGATCTGTTATACTTCTTGGGATATAATAGCTTAGTCCTCAGAAATGACAAGGCATGCCTTAAAGGGTGGCTACAAACTTGCCATCTTCAATTTTTTTTATACAACTTAGAATGGCAAACAAGCTGACGGCCCACCTGATGGAAAGTTGTAACTTTCCCTATAGATATGAGCAGTAACATGGTACTCATGATAACCTTCATACGTTGCCATACCTGAGGACTAAGGTGTTATTTCTTTATATCCTGTAAATTTACTGCCATATCCCACCTTTCAAGCCGAAACACAGCCATGCAAACACAACTGCTTCACGGTTGAAACACTAATGAGACAAAGGTACTCAAGCAAACGATTTTTATACAAAGTCTCCCTCTTGTAAATCAATACTGCAAGAATATCAATTACCTTTGGTTTTTAAATTAAATCTTCTCTATCCCAAATGCTATATAATTGGTTTGGTCTAATAATGTCGTGTAACTTTACCCAGGGCACCAACTATTACCGGATCCCCATGGCCGCTCCCATCTTAGGTAGTAACTACGGTGGATATACTATTACCAATCTCAACGGCGACCAGGAGTACAACACTGACTTTGTACCACTGCCGAAGAATAGCGAACTCCGATACACCTTCCAGTTCCCACCCAGCGAAGATCTTTATTGGTCCCTGCCAGTATTTCCAGGTATTAAATTTACATTACATATAATAATGTACATTTTGACAATGACCTATTCATAGGATTTTAGTTAGTACCGTTTTTAAGTAATGTAACGTTTTATAAATTTGGACCAGAAATTAGAGAATAAATTGGCTGTGTAATGATGATATAAATGAAATCCAATGTATCACCTTTTATCATCCTCAAGATGACTAAGAGATAACTAGGGGTACAAAGCACCACACGCATGTTAAGAGAAAGTCGTATACCAAGCCACTTGTCCCGATTTATTTTTTAAGGCCTTCTTAAATCTAATAATAGAACGTTAATATATAGGTTGATACGGATTAGGAATTTATACTAATATGCCAATATTGAGAACTATACACGTTACTATTGTTAAATAAACTAAAAATTAAAATCCAATTTTGATTCCTCTCCTCGCACTTTAACAGAAGGATCGCTTTACAGATAAAACGATAAGCTCGAAGTAATAACTTAAAGTAACTTTATAGCGAAAGCTAAAGACGATCCCAATTGGTTTTAAATTTTTAAATGCCGTTGTAATAGTAAACTGAAAATCTTGTAATGCGAAAGTTCGAAACTTCGCACCTCATCCAAAAATAACTTGAAACATATATAATTAAATTAATTATATATAAACATATATTATTAAGCATATATTAAATTAAGAGTATTAATTATTATTTTTCATCCGTGTGGTCCCTACATAGAATAGGCCACTTCTTACTTTCCAGTGGGTGTCGTAAAAGGCGACTGAGGAAAAGCGAAAGATGGGCAGCAGCGTCCCTCTTAAAACATCTCCAAAGCCTAACTGCGGTTGTCATTCCGCCTGCCAAGCGTGGAAACTACTAGCAAACTACGGGCTCCCCAAGGAGGAAGCTTATGTTTAGCAGTAGACAGTTAAAAGCCGATATGATGTCTATGATTATTATTTTTAACGTTAAAAATGTTATAATGTAATAGCAATTTATACATTTTAAAGTACCTCCTTTCTCTTTTTCTATGTTGTGTTTAGCTACGGTCGTTAAGTCACCACTCAATACAAATCATGTTGTGGTATCCGCTTATTAACAAGGTAGTGACATATAATGTGAATGGAAATAATAAATAAATAAATTTACAGGCAACAGAGTACTCTCCTACGGCGGTACGTTACAGTTTCAACAGAACTTTGAAGATCGGTACAGAGTCACAACATCTGAAGAGGAAAGAAATGTGGTGCTTTTTGGTGATGATATTTCCATTTATTGGAACAGTCCTACACCGATCAAATCTGGACAGGTACTTATATACACACAAATACTTAAATTAACATTTTATATATATACTAAATTAAGCACAGCTTGTATTAAAGATTTTTTTTTAATAGATGATAATAGAATGGTAACCCCGCTTGCGCTAACGGTATACGCCGGCGGAACACCAATGAGAGATGATAGGAGATAATTAAAAGGCAGGTTAGTTAGCCCATCGTGTTGAATACATCTGGAATTCAGTACGATGGTTTTCAGGGGGGATCACAACCTGACAGGATATATTACTAGCAATGGGACTTTGATAAAACTTGCTATAATTTAGTTTCTGAATAAATACTTTTAAAATGCTTATAAGTAAACACATGCAGCTAGTTTGTTATGATTAATGTCAATATTGATATATACAGAAAACTCGGGTGATTCTTCAAGAAGAAGGTTGGTATATCCTCAATACTGTAACACCTGCGAGCCGCAACGATTTCATGAATGTACTTAGATCTCTGAGGAGGGTTCTGGTGAAGGCTACCCTGACACCAGACATCTTGTCAACCACAATAGCTGATGTTTCAATGGACACTGCCTCGACGTTCGCTGACCGTGGCTACCCGGCAGTCAAGTCTGTGGAGGTAAATATTTTTAACCCTCTGGTTGTAATTATAGAATACTATAAAATTTTAAGTACTTTCCTATTGTAAAAATAGACTATCTCCTTAAATTAAACTTATTGAAAAGCTAAAGAAACAAATATTTAATCTGACCATAGACAGTCTAGTATATCCAATAGCAATAGGTGCAAATAAGAAATCGATGGATGGTTTCGATTTATTATTAATTTTATTATAGTATCTATGATTACTATAACAAAGTCTGCTTTGTTTCAATAATTTCCATTGAAACTCATTATAAATACTTTGTGATTTGCAGATGAAATAAAAGTTCTTGTTTGCAGACAAAAACTTTTTAAACTCGCTCGTTTTTGTCTAATATTTCTATGCTAATGTAATTCTAGAGCAATTAAAAAAAAAAAAACATTATTTTTTATAGGTATGCATGTGCCCACAAGGATACACAGGCACTAGTTGCGAGAGCTGTGTACAAGGGTATTATAAGGATCGCAGAGGTCGCTGCAACCCTTGCAACTGCAATGGTCACGAATGCAAATTGACAATGAACAACGAGGTTACATGTTACTGTAGGCCCCCATACACAGGTCCCGACTGCTCCACGTTTGGTAAGTTTATTATTCGCTAATATACTACCTAGATATCTTGTTTTACGTATAGAATGGGTTAAATTTTAACACAGTACTTCAGGTAACTGAAATTCTTTGTTGAATAAAAATCTTAAACTGCCATTTAAAATTACACCTACTATATATGATTTGCCATTATATTGGTAGAGTCAATCGGTTGGATCTGTACTAAATGACTTGTAAGTAAGTTGGTCATTTGAATGTTTATGTGAAGAAATGGCTTACTAATTGACTGCATCAGTCGTGTGCCAAAATGTACTATCAGATTCACCAACTATTTTATTTGCCGGTTTCGAATAAAATCAGACTTATCTAATATCTTTTAAACTTTCAAATTTTGCTTAATTTTTTTTACTTTACCAGTCTTTCATCTTTTTTACTCAACATTACAAGAAATTCTGGTTATATATAGCAACTTACTACATCGTTCATATGCACTTACAAGTTGCAAATAATTGCCATGTTGTAAGTCAAGTAATTTTTACACCACTGCAATTTGTCAGTGGTGGACTTTTTTTGATCGTTAATATTTTTTTAACAACAATAGGCCTAGTAATGGAATTACATCCAACAATAGAAGAAGATGTCGCACTCGACGAAGCGTATAAACGAATTACGCTTACCTGCAAATATATAGCGCCAGAGCCACTAACTATTCAATTCTTTAACGAGGGAGTGGCAGTGGAACCTCCCAAATACTACAATGAGTCGAGATTGTACAAAAATGGGTGGCGCGGCGAACATTCCTGGCAAACTATTTGGGATACAAGTTTAGAAGAAATATATGAGTGTCACGCGATAACCCAAAAGGGGGTTACATTGGGGGTGTTGACTACCAGTTTGCCGGAGCCAGGTAGCAATGATCAAACGTTCAGATGTGTCTACGTTTCCGAGCTAATACCATCATGCTTTGAACGATCAGCTCCCTGTTGTACATTCCATTCGAAGCCTCAGTTCAATCACTCATAATTAAAGACATGTTATATTATAATTTTGGTGACCTTGCTACGTTTCTGCATGTTTCTAGTGTTTCCAATTATTTCGTGTAAGTTCATAATTGTGGGTCGGACGGGACTCTATCATTACCGACACGGTGTTTCCTGATCGGTTCAGTTCTGTTCGCCTCGCATATACTATTGTTATTTTACGTAGACAAGGTCCCAAATACAATTCTTGGTTGAGGGTTTTTTATAGGAAACTGCCTGGGTATTCCAGGTGGAACACATTATATTCCAGCACAGGATATTCTAGTTTGAGGATCGAACAATTTGTATGTGCTAGTTATCTGGCATTACATTGAATATGATTTTGTTTTTGGATGCTAATGATTTTGTTGTATTGTATAAAAACAATGCACAATATTAGTTCTTATATTGTATAAAAACTTTATACTCAAACTATAATACTTTGTTCGATCTTCTGCTATAATATACTCGATATACTATTCCATAGCTTTATCTGTGAAATAAAAGGTGTTGTTATAGATTTTAAGGTATGTGGTTGGATAGGTATTGGTAAACAATGTGTTGTCCTTTGAATTATGTTTGTGATGATTGTCGCAATTATATCATAATATAAACTATTAGTATGTAATATCACATTTTGTATGTATATTAATATTTAATGTTATATTGCTTATGTAGTTACGTCTGTTTGTATTTAAAATTTTATATAACTGTAAAGAAACAGTTTGTAAATGCAGAAATATGAAATTGTCTGATTAGTTGTCCGGGGCAACAATCAATAATTAAGTTGGTAATTTGTTAAATACGATCGTTACGAGGGACTTAGAACTTTATGTTAATAAACAAAATTTTCTACGTAGTGTTGGAATTTATTTGAGATAAATCAATAGGCGAATCTTCATAGTTTCGCCTGTTGATCTATGAAACGAGCTCAAAAATAATAATATTAAAAAAATATTTCAACACTTAAAGAAGTAAAATTATCGATTGAGTAGTAAAGTGAAAACTACTATTAAATAAGAATATATCAGTAGTACCTATTAGTAGCAAATGATATGTGTAAACCTACTAGTAAATACTATAAATATATTGTTATTTTTATATTTGCAATTCTTAACAACGACGCCTATGATGTAATATTGTTGCACCGGATAACTCACTGACTATGATAATATTTTTTGTATACTTCGTGTCCTCTTATTTGTTTTATTTACTAAACTATTTCAATTACAATAATTATAATTAATTATTTCAACACAATACCGATTATGCAATGGCAGATTTTTTTTTTTAAATTAAGTGTTAAGGAAAGAAAAGTAAACGTCATTGCTGAACAGAAAAATATTTACAGGACAACCACAAGTTACAAATCCACCACCGTACCCAACACTTCCGCCGCCGCCGACCTCCACTCTGATAGTGACGATTACATCACCCACGATAATGATCAAAGAAGTTGGCAGTACAGTGAGCTTCACGTGTCAAGCGCAGAGTCGCATGACCCGCAGCAGACTCCGGGTTACTTGGTCTAAAGAAGGCGGCTCGCTGCCCTACGGCAGGAGTATGGTAGACGAAGCGAGTGGAAGCCTTTGGATTCAAAACCTTCAAGATACTGATACCGGCAAATACGTTTGCGAGACGACAGATGGAATATCTACGGCGCAGGCTACAGCTAGTCTCACAGTTGGCGGTGAGTAATTATACCTGAATCTGTCCTCTATATGGCCAATGCAAATGTGAATGTCCCTTTATTTGTCTCGTCTTTTCGGGCATTTAGACACAATCTGCAGCATACATAATAAAACTTTAAATCGAATGCTAAATTGAACGTGTCTCAGGAAATTTTTGTCTGCGCACGAAATGAAAATATTTAAAAAGTAAAATAGATCTTAGTTTCGTTCCGACTTTAACATCTTGTAAATGAAAAATGATTGTCTATTCTTTTTTTCACATTCTGTTTAATATAGTCGTATTTAGAGAAAACTTACTGTAAGCTTACAGATTGATTCGTTTAAAATAAATAAATTTATTAATAATATTTTCATGCTCGCATTCTGGGAATAGCGCTGCCAAATTGGGTATTATATGCAAGAGGTAAATAAAAATACTGTAACTAAACAATTATATACTCATAAGATGATAGGTTTACATTCACATGTCATTATAAATCGAGTGAGAATCTGAGGGTGATGTTAAGAATGTCTTGAGTATGAGTGTGTATGTATGATTAAGCATGAACAAATGTACTCGTATAAATATACAGATCTTTATCAATTTGTCCTCTCTGTCTACTCTGTCTTCTTTTTCATTTAAGAGTTTCCTCTTGTCGGTGCAACTAATTCATGCATCTTCTTCCAGCCAGCTCTATCCCAGGCCATATCCTTGATCTCCCTATAGGACATGACACCTAGTGTTTCCTTTACCTGTCCCATGTAGTTATTCCTCGGTCTACTCTGTAAGGGATTTTAATTATTCTTTGGTCTGTATATTCTAGAATTTTTGCTTTTTATGTAATCTGGCTGTTCGGAAATTAGTGTGCCACTTTTAAATCTATCTTCATGTTAAAAAAAAACTACTTTACTGAGTTCGCAGAGAATACTGAGGGCCAATGAAGTAAATTCTAGCATTTGTAGAAATATTTTTAATCTAGTCAAATTTAAGCATTTTGGTATAGTCATTTTTATAGTTATATTTTGAACTCCCATACGTAAAGCAAATAAGAACGAGCAAAGATTTTTTTTTTTATTTTCTTAAAAATAATTGAATCATACATATGATTCAAGCAAGGGTATTTCATTCATTTAACTCGTATTGTACTTTCACGCCGTTTCAGGTACAGAGACACTTGACTCCTCTCTTAGATATAACGTGAGCTATTTATTTATTCTAGATTAGTGTAGGTAGGTAGGTTAAATTATATATATGTATATTTCTTCAGCTTTTCTATTGACAAAGATTTCACTTACCCAGCACAAGATTCTCTTAATATTATTTATAATATTCTGGTACTTATTATTTTTATAATATACTGCAGTAAACCAGAGAACAGTACCGGAAGTTACAATAGTATCAGCTGTAAAAGACTATATTGAAGGCGAGACCATAGAGTTGGAATGCCGAGCGACTGGTAACCCTGCGCCGACGCTATCGTGGCGTAGAGCTAACGGTCAACCGCTACCACAGACGGCAAACTCACAAAATGGCTTATTGATCATCGAACAGTCTCGCGAGGAAGATTCTGGAGAATACAGGTACTGTTTCATTTTTCATTACATGACATCAAAAAAATAAGTACCTCTCGAATAGAAATTTTACTCTATTTTTGAATGTGATGACCTTAGATTGCGGTGATCTATTTGTCAATTGTAAATTAGTAGTTAGATTTTTTTTTAATTATTATTATAATACCTTCACTGTAATTAATTCCATAAATGCGTAATCTTTAATGTTTCATCTCTGTCAATAATTCACAAGTGAAATCCACAGTGATATTTTACCCTTATACAGAAATGTCAGTAAATTGTATTTTTATTATATATTATTGACTTAAAACTCAACTTTATAATTTTAATAATTTTAGAAAATGACCAATAAGAGGATAATTCTATTTAGTCTCTTATTAATGTTAATGCAATTAGTTTAAAATCCACTCGTTCATTCCAAATAGAATGCATAAATTATATTTGAATTGACAACTTCTTTCTTTTGAAATTGCTAAAAGAATATTTTATTTATGGTAATATAAACTCCATAGATGTACCGCAATAAACACGGAGGGCTCTAACGACCGCATCGCTGTTGTGAACGTACGGCCCAGGCCTTACACACCGCCCAGAGAGAAACTGACCGTCTCCAACGCATCACCAACTATCCACGAGGGGCAGGACATTAACATCGTGTGTACAGCCACGCAGTCTGTTGCACCAGGCTCCATACAATGGGTCAGGTAATTAAAAAAAAATCATTGTTAATAGTAATCGTTTTCTATTGAAGTTTTTGTTTCCTAGTAATTGTGTTTGCATGATTGTTTTTGAAGGGTGGGCAAATATGGTAATGAATTTACAGAGTGCAGGAGCTTATTATCTTGGTTCTCAGGGATATCTTGGGTATCGCAATGAATTTTATGAGGTTAAAGGCTGTTGACCCACGCTAGTTAAGTTTCAATTAGCGTTATTCATGTCTGCTTATAACTAACAATTACCACTTACGATCGACGACCGAAGTTGTCAAATTTTTTGTTATTCCAACTTGCATAAATAGTGTATAGTGCCAATTTGTTTGGCATTTATTATATTAACACAAAGGAATCTTGCATTATACTCTCTGATAATTTGTCTCATTCAATAGTTACATTAGTCAAGGTAAAATTCTTACAATTAATACTTTATCTGATAGAAAGTTGTAACAATTTTTTTAGACTGAAGCTATACTGTGGATGTATGTATCACAAGCACACATCGTAGTGCTTCCAACTTAATTTGTTTATAATTTAAGTACTTCCTTTTCATCAAAAAGTTCCCTAGAAAGGATATATTTTCTTCATGTGATATATTTGTTTCTGCTGTTTTTTTTTTTATACAACTTAGAATGGCAAACAAGCTGACGGCCCATCTGATTGAAAGATCGCCTATAGACGAATGTGTACGAATATTCCACTGTAATGTAATAGAAGGAACAATAAACAGTGTCTATCTACACCAATTTTTATTACAAGTTATTAATTATAATCGCTATACTTTGTAGACAAGATGGTACCGCGTTTTACGGCAACGTGCGTTCCGAGAACGGAGTCCTTTACATCCAAAGCGCTTTGCCGGAAAACCAAGGAGTTTACATCTGCCAAACGCCCTACAACTCAATATCTCCCATCATGGTCGTTTTGAAAGTAATACCTCTTGAGACACCATCGCCATCGGAGTCTTCGAACATTACGACTACAGTGCCTGGCTTAAGGATACCCACCGGTGGTACAGACTCCGTTGAATGCCTACCAACAGGCTACCCTCCGCCAATCGTTAGGTGGAAGAAGGTAAGATCACAATTTGTCACTATTTTCTTATCATTCTAAAGATATTGTAAATAATTAAGACAACAAAGCACAAATCGGTGCAAGAGAAAAAAATGTCGCCAAGTTCAATGTGGCAATAGTGGTAGTATATTTTGAGAAGAGACCCCATTTTAGTAACAGTTCTACCAGTAATGTAATATTACAGAAAAAAAAAACAATATTTTAAGAACTTTTTGCCTTTAATTCACATTCATATACCCGTAAAATTTAAAAAAAATTTACCCCAATATATATTTTGTTGTAACAGTACGATGGCGATTTTGGTCCCGGAACTAGTCAATTCGGTAATGCACTGGTGATCACGAACGCCCAAGACAGCGACCAGGGATACTACTTGTGTGAAGGAATCGTGGACAATGTGAACATCGCCACAGTCTACGTATTTGTTCAGGTTGAAAGTGAGTTTGCCTCTTTCGTTTTCATACCAGCTTCTTAGACATATAACTTTAACGAATTCATAACTGTGGAATACAGGTTACATATATTGTTTATAGTTTTTATATTATTATTTATCAAATTCGAAATTGACGCATCTCTATTGTTTCCTTTTAACGTCCCTTCTCGGCCCAAGTCTTCTAAGTTCCTTTCGTTAATATACGTATATCTACAATTTCCATTCTTCATTTCCTTAGTCGCCCATAATGACCTTGACACAGTATACTTTCTATGATTGAGCGGGCATTTCAAGATAAACTTTTTTTACACCATGTATGTATAGATAACATACAAGCATAATATCAGTACAGTTTTTAGTTTAAATGCGTTTTAAACAGTTGTAACTAGTTTATATAAGAATTAGTTAAAGGACATTTAAAACTGCGTTTTCTTTATTATATTATACGTATATCCTTTGCCAGGATCATTGGCAAAGGATAGTACATATGTACACATGGTATACTACTACATACTTCGACTGTTAGTACTGAAAACTTTTGTCCAGAATTCTATCAGTATAACTACAAATAAAAGGAGCAAATTAATTGGAACTGTCCAGTACTTTGTTAAGTATCCGTAACCGGCGAGAGTGTATGAATAGATTGATGAATGTGAAGGAAGTATTTGAATTGAAACATTAGACGTTCTATTGTTTCTGAGATAGATATGACAGATATGTATGTATGGAACTGATCTGTAAATAGATACTGAAAAAATAGACAAAACAGAGAATTTGTAGTCACGTAAACTAAATCTGTAAATTTTAAGTTTGTAATAAGCACCAGACTAAGAAAACGACAGACACAGAAAAAGACAGAGTATTTCCCATAGAGTGGAAATTTGTAATTATAATATGTTTTCAGAACGCGAACCGCCTCGTGTCTCTATATGGCCGGAAGAACCGAACCCAGTGACCATCGGAACCACTTTCGAACTACGTTGCCAAGTGTTAGCCGGCTTGCCGGAGCCTGACGTTATGTGGGCCAGAGAAGGAGGCAGGTCATTGACCAGGACTGCACAGATCCTACCGCACCATATACTGAAGTAAGTTGTTCTTCCTGATAGTATCCTCACCAGAAGCAGACTTTTATACAAAAGTCGTCTGAATTGGTAACTTTGGCTTTCTTGTGTTTTTGCCGTGAAGCAGTTGTGCTTACATAGAATTGTTTTGGTATGAAAGGTGGGTTATAATTAGGTATGAATAATGTGGATACCGATTCGATATCGAATTCTATTTCTTAGATAATAGACTTTTAATACATTCGCTATTGGATCAGTAAATAGATATTGTAACTAAAATATATAGATATTGCTATATATAATATCACTCACCCCTAGTTTTTTTAATGGGTGATAATGGAATGGCAACCCCACCCGTGTTATCGGTATACACCGGCGGGGCACCAGTGAAGGATTATAGGTAAGAATGAAGCAGGTAAGTTAGCCCATCGTGACGAATTCAACAAGAATTGTTCACAATGGTTTCCAGGGGGAACCACGTGGAGATCGACCTAATAGGGCACTATTGCTAGCAATGGGGCTGTCACACTCCATTGCTAACAATCCCTTTCCCCCACCTACCCCTAGGTATAATAGTCAAATTACAGGATACGGATGCATAGCACAATAGTTCTCAGGAATTGTCACGTATGTGTAGTACGTCATGACAATAAAATATTTCCAGATTCGAAAACATCGACGTAAACGACGAAGGCACGTACACTTGTACAGCGTCCAATGATGCCGGTAAAGATCAAGCGACGGCCACCATCCGGGTACAGTCCGTGCCGACCATTACAATGACACCAAACAATTACATCACGGTCGAAGTCGGAAACCCCATCAACTTCGAGTGTCGCGCCAGCGGGTACCCATTACCTAAAGTCTCTATTAAAAGTGAGTTTTAATTTATTCATATACACTATTTGCGTCTTGCAACTTTGCCTGGTACACCTGGGTAAATTATATACCTACCCGTAATACCAAGTGTACACAAATTTCATTTAAATCAAAATTAAACCATTTAAGCGTCATTAAATAATACTAACATCTTTTATTGTTATAATAGTATATAGTAGGATTAATAATTTAGTTCTACAAGAAATAAATACAATAAATCATTATTTAGTTAAGTTATTTAGTTAATATCAATTTAGTTAAGTTATATATATAATTCGAGTAAACCATTTGGAATAAAAAAAAAGTACAGTTAAATTGAAAAACTCCTACTTTTTACTTCTACTGATAAATTCCTACCACAATTGGGGGAGAATGAAAAGGTGAACAGAATGATAATCTCGTCAGCCTATGGCCTATATCAATAGAATATTCGATGAATAAAATTTAATGTAAATGGTATACCAACGAATACCATGAGACAGTATGCTGATGACCTGGATATGTACGAGTATATAACAAAATTATTGACTGATTGATGTTTTAATTTATTACTAATTTCATTTAAAGAATGTTTCTGTTAATAATTTCAACAAACTTTGTTCCCATTTTCATTACATTCTGTTGAAACACGAATGTGTATTTTACTATATTAACATAGGTGTCATCATATTCTATTAATAGCTGTTATTAATTACAAGTATTCTGTTTAATAATAATGATGTGCCAAATTTCCAACTAGCTGTCTGCCCGCCATTTTGTACGTATTGATTTCAGACTTGGGTACCTCTGTCCCATTCGTGTTTCAACCGTGAAGCAGTTGTGTTTATTTGGCTGTGTTTCGGTTTGAAGGGTGGGATATGACGTGAATTTACTAGATACAGAGGAATAACACCTGAGTCCTCAGGAATGCCAATGCAAGGGGGATATCATAGGCGAAACAGTATACTCTGTTATGTCCATAGTAATGCTCATGTGTATAGGCGACGGTTACCACTTTCCATCAGGTGGGCCGTCAGCTTGTTTGCCATTCTAAGTTGTATATAAAAAAAAAGACGTAGAAAAACTAAATAAAATCAATCACTTTTAGATAGAATATCAAGCCAAGCTTACACCAGATTTTAACTTAAACCTTTAAGAACATAAAAGTGAAAACTGTATCCAAATTGGTGCAGCAATTATTGCGTAATGCCAAAACAAAAATTGAGATAGACACATAGACAATATTTAAAAAAAGTATACTATTGACATATATTGGTCTTATTAAAAATCTTAATTTTTTTTAACGGGTGATAATGGAATGGTAACCCCACCCGCGCTATCGGTATACATTGGCGAGGCACCAGTGAGTGATGATAGATGAGAATGAAAGCAGGTCAGTTAGCCCATCGTGACGAATTCCACCAGAATTAACCACGATGGTTTCCAGGGGGAACCGCGTGCAGCTCGACCTGATAGGGTATACTAATAGCAATGGGTTCATCAGACCCCATTACTAACAATCCCTTCCCCCCAAAAACATTCATATTATTTTTCCTTAAATATCTACCAAGTACAAACATCGTCTATAATTTTATTATATCAATAAAATAATAAATAATAAAATAAATTGAAATTGTACATTTGTGCAGCCCGAGACTTCAGGGAGATCGTGCCGCCGACCAGCGCTATCGCTGCTCTCCGCGTGAGCTCAGCCAGTGAACGCGACGACGGCGAGTACGTGTGCCAGGCCACCTCCTCCGCTGGCACCATCGAAGAGAACTTCGTCATCGTCATCGAGAGGGGTGATCTCGGGTCCGACAACGACAGAGGTGGGTCTTTGTAGGATATTTAAAGGCCAATAAGCTGGTCCGTCTAACAGATAATTTAAGATCGTATTCCACAAAAAATGACCTCCATTGTATTCCGCAGTTAGGCTTTATGGTGTTAAAAAGGACGCAGCCGTAATTTGTGTAAATGAGTTATGAAATTCCAGGGCGTAAGGAAAGTATGTAGGAACCTCTTGTACCGGTACTTTAGTAATATCTGATATGAAAATAGATACCTCTAGTATTTGAAACTCGGTTCTCTGCGACTGTCCCACAAGGGACTTGGCGTATAAATAGATTGCTATCTAGCATCAATAATACACATTCTGTTAAGTTTGATACTAAAGCCTCTCACACACTGACCACGGTGCTGTATTTAATGTGTAAAGTGCCTAAATAGCGCCATATGATAACAAGCTATTTTATTTATTTATCTATTTATTTCATTCTACGCCAGGAAGTGGATACGAGCCCGATGACAACAATAACGGAAACGAGGAATCGAGCAGTCTCATTATGCCTGAAGGAAAAGACGCCATAATCAGGTAATAAAATCATTTGATATTTTTGATGTAAAAATGTTATAATTTATTATTGAGTTATTGAAAAGTTTCGAATAATACAAAAGTCAGTTTCCAAGCTAAGTAATATTATAAAGCAACAGTTGAGCATCTTACCCGTTCTTCTCGGCTGAAATTACATTCCCAACTCGCTGATAAATAAAAAAAAAAAAACTATTCAAAAATCCTATTTTTTAAATAAGTTTACTTGAATAAAAAATATGTTTATTTATTTATACATTATAATTAAATATATTATTTTCACTTTAACGATTACGATAAATCCTGCTTCTTTAAAATAAATCGTCTAATGATAAAGTCTTAAGGCTACATGAGTTCAATTTACTTCGCTGTGGGTAAAGTAGGAAAAGTTTTAGCGTTCTACGCGGGCGACGGATGCCTGTCAAATAAAACTTTATTGAGTACAACTTGGCACTAACCGCGCACGTGCGCGCACATGACGTCACAGTGTAGAAAAATGCAGTTCATAAATACCCACACTGTAAAATGTTCATTATTTATTTTACCTATCTGTTTAGATGTGACTCCGACGGCTATGACACTACCTGGTCGAGACTCGGTGGAAGGCCATTACAACCGAACGCAATCCAACGTGGACCCGATCTGTTCATTTATAATGTAAGTGTTTATATTTACATTTATTTCTGAATATTATGTCAATACTATCTTTTTCCGCGGTTTTGACACGAAGCCTACAACCTCAGGTAGGTTTTTTTTTATGGGTGAAGATGGAATGGTTACCCCGCCTGCGCTATCGGTGTATGCTGCCAGGGCACCAGTAAAGGGTGACAGATGAGGATGATGGCAGGGAAGTTGGCCCATAGTGACCAATTGAACAAAAAGTAACCACTATGGTTTTTAGGGGGAACCGCGTGGAGGTCGACCTGATAGATTGTATTGCCAGTAATGAGGATCTTAAATCTCATTACTGACAATCTCATTTCCCCCACCTCAGGTAGGTTATATTTACGATATACTCAACACATACGGTACTTAGCATGTCCCAAAAAAGGTACGTGTAGCAAATTTCATTTAAATCCGTTCAGCTGATTAAGCGTGATTGAGTAACAAATATTACCCACCAATCTCTGACCACCATTTCGTTCACACAATTTTTGCTACATGTGTTTCACTGTGTGTGTTGTTTTCGAGCCTATTTATAACCGTTCGACATTCACAGTTTGGACACCGAACAGCTAATGATGATTGTAGAACTTCTCGTAATAATAATAGTGGTCAATCTTCGAGTGTTGACAGTCGCACACATATTAATGATAGCGGAATAAAACAAAATAATTATAATCAAATAGACATTTTTTTTTTTAATTTAGCATCATTGGCTACAATAATATACCTAGTCATTTAGAACTCCTTCTGGAAACCATCATGGTTAATTCTTCATAAATTCTAACATAGTTCAGTGATAAACCAATGGTGCTGGCGGGATTACCATTCCATTTTCATCTCTTAACACTGGCGGGGCTGACGGGTCATGTAAAAATTTGAAAATCTCAAAAATTGACTTTTTTTTAGTATATATGATTAGTTAAGCATTTTGAATATTTAATATATTTATAAAACCACCGTAAACTGTGTCACTGATATCATAGACATAAACATAGATCTTGTCAAACGACATTGTCCGACAGTTGTTAAAAAAACAGATTAATTACCTGGTGTACATTTTGTTAAACAATATTAAGCTACGTGAACATTTAAAAGGGATTTTCTTCCATTAGGTATCAAAAAGCGACGCCGGCGACTATGAATGCGCGATAATAATAGAGGGAGACCCGAGGAATGTGGTGTACCGGCAGTTGATTGTGATGGCTGCGCCCAGGATCACACTATACCCTCCCAGCCAGACTGTGCGCCCTGGTGACTCTACGGTTGTGAACTGCACCGTCACCGGCGACAATATCCAAGACGTTACCTGGTTACCTTCCAGAACGCCAAGGTAAATCTTATTTGTTTACTAGCTTTTACCCGCGACTTTGTCCGTGTGACCGGGATATCTTCATTGACTGAGAATCAAAACTAGCCAATGTCCTTATCCACCCCATATAGGCCAAATGTTATGGGTAATCCGTTTAGATACTAAAAGGTGACAAACTCGCTTTCACATTGATGATATTTGTAAGGATTAATTTTGGCCCCTTTCTCTTGCTTTGTTGTTTAACTGAGACAAAAATATATTTTATTTATATCCTACTCGTATATTGTCATTCCAAATATTAAATATGAGTATGACAAATTTTATAGTAATAAAGCTCGTCACTAGGTTTGATTTAGAGTTTTGTTATTAAAATATAAATTGTTAAAAACTACAAGAATATTATATAAAAGTTATACAAAAATTATACATTTAAACGATATATAAAAAATAATATTTGTCTCATCTAAGATTGATTAAATTTATTGAATCGTTTAAGATTAAAATTTTACCTTCTTATATTAAACTTCCAGAAGAATTGTTTGTTCCTTTAAGAACTTAATAGATATAAGTAAGCACAAATGAAAAATGGATTTCATTAAAATATCTCATGAAATATTATTAAACGGATAAATAAACTACAGTATTGTAAATTATTTGTACTAGTTTTGCATTATAAAAAAATGGAATCTAATTCGTACAATATTTTTTACAGTAACCGAATCGAAATCCGCAAGTCCTCATACACCTCAGTCCAGCTGATATTCCACCGTATAGAAGTAGAAGACGCCGGAGAATACCACTGTTTCGCTAGTAACCCCGTAGCGAACATCACCAACACTGCTGAAGTCATCGTCAGCGGTATATCTCAACCTTCTTTTAATTACTATACATATGATCATAAAAAAAGATGAAGCACGTAGCATAAATATGAAAAGCACAAGTTTATTGATGAAAAAAGCTTCACTTCACGATTGTACAGGTCGCACTTAGTGAAGATACAGTGTGCGTAACAAGCAGTATTTGAACCACATACGGTCTGTTATAGAATATAATAATTAGATTAGATGATCCGGTAAACTTCTTAGCCAACGCCATCTATTAAAAGTAATTTGAAGTAGTGATTCTCATAAAACATTTAAATTATCTCTTTATATTTTTTTCATTTTTCAGCTTAATTTTAGAATTTTTCCAAATGTTTCTTTTTCTTTTAAGCCACTTTTTTATTACAAACAAACAAAAAAAAAAATCAAGTATACTGTTTGTGAGTTTTATCGAGACTAACGAACAGCGATTGATTTTTATATATACATAACTCGTAGTTATGGCAATACCAAATTGAAAATGCTTGTCTCAACATTTAATGAAAATCACAATCTTATCGCAAAGATTTAATAATTAAAACTATTTAAAAATCACTCTAATATTATATATTATAGTGTCGTTTAACCCATCTAAGTATATACTGCGTTCCGAGTACGTATAAATTTGCACTACCGCTTGTTGCGTACACTGTGACAAAGGCACCTGTCTAATTTGCAGTTCACCTAGATATGCTATATGAATGCGTATGATATAAAATTACAGAAGTCACGTTATTACAAACACTGTTCTTTGTTATGCTTAACATTTTCTTTCATTGACTGGTATGCTTGAGAGTACGTTGACTGCATGTTAACCGTTCATAGACGACAGTGACAGCGAACCAAGGGAGTCTCGCGATGTAGAACAGAACGGCCGCGTCGGCGACGCCATACAACTGGACTGTAGCTCGGGACACCGGTACACCAAGATAAAATGGACAAAGGACGGGAGGGCACTGCCGAGATCGATAAAACAGAAAGGCGACGGCTCCCTCTACATTAGGTCCGCGAAAAAGTCTGACAGTGGACAGTACGTGTGCATTGTACGAGATCCATACGGAAGGAATAGCACCAAATACATCAACCTTCATATATCGGGTCAGTGGGCGTATTGTAGCGGTGCCCGGTTGTAGTTGGAGCTTGGCGTTACGGAGTGGTGGTGCTAATTTGAACGCTTCCTCACCTAAGATCTTTCTTAACCTAGGCATGCTTCTCGATTAACCTTCTATAATATCTCTTCTTTTCTCTACCTCTTACTACTAATGCTCTACGTTTGTCCGGAATGCCAGTGCTTCCACCCCGTTTCCAACTAAACGTAATTCGTGTTTTATACATGTATAATATATGTATGTACAGCGTTTATACTAAGTTCAATACAAATCATGATACATATATAAAACATTAGTATTGCTTGTGTAGATGTGACGATAACTATTTCCACTAAAATACGAATACATGTTGCTAACTCAAACATGTTTTGCGACATATACTCGTATTTGGTGGGAAACGAAGGTTACTCCTCGTCTACTAAGCAATTATTTATTATTAATAATGCCATAGATATGCGTGTTGTTTTCAGTCTCTGTCTGAATTTTATATTTACCTATGTAATAATAACTATTTATTTTTAAAATAACATGCTCATTTTAAAACTAATTCACTTTAAATACCTAACTATTTTCAATGAAATCATTGAAACAGAGTTTTCAACGGCCGTGTCGTACATCTCCTGTACAGGTAAAACTAGTCTGCATCTAAATTCAAAATTTTGTTACATCTGTTATATTTTTAAGCATTTATTATTATTATTTAATTAACTATCTTTGTAAATAAATAAAAGATGTTTAATAAGTGTTTAATTCGTTATAGATATTGAATTATTGGCAAATATTTGATACGAACGTCACTTAAATATGTAATTAATTATTTTGTGTGCTAAGTGAAATCAAAATCTTTATTATTATCTGAATATAGTATTCTACCAGTAAAACTGAACATTTAACAGCTGTGTTATTATGGAAAATTTTATTTTTGATCGTTTTCAAACCGTACCAGAGGGAGAATTTGTACAAAAATCGTCTAGTTGGATACCTTTCTTTCTGGGTGTTATGTTTCTACTGTAAAGCATTGCATTGCTGTGTTTCGGTTTAAAGGGTAGGGCATAGTAATGCAATTACATGATACACAGGTATAATACCTTAGTCCTCAAGAATGGCAATGCATGAAGGTGTTACTGTTCATGTCTATATTTATAGGCGACGGCTACCACTTTCCATTAGGTGGGAAGGCAGCTTGTTTGCCATTCTAAGTTGCATAAAAAATATGTTTCTTTGATAAAAATGTTCAGTTATTAAGGGTAGAACACTATTAAGAGAATGCTAATAGATTTCACTCTATATATAAACTAATAAATTATTATAAATTAATGATACATACACCATTAATTCGTATTCACTTTATTATAGTTTATATATAGTTGTACATACATTGAGAATTGTTAGCAGATTAGTGTAATGTATTTGCTATTATTGCTTTATTTGTTTTATTACACTAGTATTAAATATGTACCCTTTATTCATAATAACGTTAAATCTCTCTTAAATTTTAGCTATTGAACTGCTCTTTCTCTATCTCTTTTCTTTTACATTAAATTTCCAATTTGAAAGAAAGTGACAAAATAGTGTATTAGTTAAAGTAGATTTGTAGAAGATTTTAACTTTTATGAATAAAGGGATAAATGTTTTATATGTAAGTCGTTGCTTTTGCATGCTACATGTTAATAATAGTATTTACAATATCCTAATCAAATGTTACCTTACGGTTAAATCCTGCGTGTATTATTTGTATAGAATAATTTGAATTTTTTTTTTATTATTTATATTGTTATAATTTCTTTATAATAACGAGGAAAAATAAGATGGTATTTATGTACTACAAAAAGATTTATTTTTTTAGTTTACCAACATTATTAATTTATAATAATCGTTAGTTTTCTGTTGCTCTGTTGCTCATATTATTTCAGGATTTAACCGACTTTAGGTATCTATTATATAAATTTTATCGTATTTAATGTAATGTATAATTATGATACAACCAAAAGAATGAGTTTACATGATGCCATAATGATTTTTTTTTAATGATCAACTTTATACGAGAAAACGTTCTTATTTTTATTACTTTGTACATCAATATAGTTTTCCTACCTTGACAACATTAAAAACACGTAGTGTCACCCATATTATGATGTAGATAAATAGATAGATATATAATTTATTTTCATTACATACAGCACACAAATAACAACATATACACAGTAAAAAAATATAAAAATATGCGTAAACAAAAAAAAAGCAAAATATATAAAAAAAGTAACATTTTTTTCTTTCATGCGTGTGCCATAATAACACAAAATGATGTAGTACATTTTTTTATATTTATTATAATTATTAATAATTAATTAATATAAATTTAAAAATATAACGAAATAATTACAAAATCAATATCTATTTCTAAAATTAAAATATCAATTTAATTTCACCAGTTGGAAATAAAATTCTAGTCAATTTTAATTAGATTGTTTTTCAAAAATTAAACCGACTACAATTGGGGTAAAACCAATTATTTTAATTTAAGAACAGTTAAACTGGTTTTAGTAAAATTTCTATGGGACCAGTTTGTATATATATCCTTACAGGATAAGAATTTTCCAAATCGGTTTACAACTAACGGGGTTGTGAGTTAACAAACATAAAAAAAATACAACCGAACTGAGAAACTCTTGTTTTGAAATGATCAATATTGTTTTTAAAACATATGTTCATTTTTTTTTAATAAACATAGACATTTAAATTACCAAATTATAATATTAGGTTAATAGATGGATTTAAAAAATAACAGCTTTGAATTGACGTCAATAACACGTCTAACACAAATAATAGGCATCATGTAAATTCAATATGAACCTGTTTGTCGTTTAACATTTTTTTTTTTTGTAATATGAAACAATATATTTTTGGTTCACTAATTTAAACTATAAGCTATATTAATTAATTGTAATATAAAGCACAATGTACTTATGTGTTTATATATGTTTTTTTAATCTTTTTACTAAGTAAGCACTTTTACGTGACTCGTGCACTTTAGGTACAATTTATGTTTACATGAAGTAAAGTAGGTTCATCTTAGCTAAATCAAAATGTATATAACAACTACAATATATTTAATCAATTGGCTATATTTATAGTATTTTCATTTAGCTTTGTTACTTATGTATTTTTTTTTTTAATCTAATAATATTTACTCCAGGCATAATAATTTGAAAATGCGTATTAGAATCATTAGATAAATTAATTTTACTTTTAATTTTGACTTCACAAACAATTTTACATTTTTTACTTTATGTTTTTTTTTCTTAAAGTCTTCTTTTTTTATTAATAACTAAACGTATGAAAAATATCTGAAATTTTGATATGGTGTACAGGTCCTCCGTCGGAGTATTCCATGGTGACCATCGATAAGCCATACAGACAGTACAGAGTCGGTGAGACCGTGGAAGTGGTATGCCGTAAGGAATCTCCAGACATCCACGTCATTTGGGAGCGATTGGGGACAAGGCAATACGTAGACCTGAGGGTATGTATCCATTTATCCTATAATGTATTAATCACTATAATTTATTTATAATTACAATCCTTAATTATAATTCATATTTGTATAAAACAACTAGAAGTATACAAATAAAATCAATGTATTTATCTTTAATTTAAAAGTATTTATATTAATATATAAAAAAAATAAGAATGTCTAAAATTGCTAATTTAAAATAATTGAACATAAAAAGGAATGGTATTAAAAAAATATTTTATTTATTTAATAACAAATTTTATTAATATATTTTATTTTTGTAGACTTTCAAAGATGGCGCTGTACTTGTGATAAAGAATGTGACAGAGACAGACGCCGGCCTGTACAGGTGCACTGGACAAGATCGCTACGGTCAACGTAGTTACGTAGACTACAATGTCGAAGTACAACCAGGTATACTGTGACAACATTGTTAAAATACGTTTTATGTATTTTCAGTAATAATATCAAATTATTCTAAGTCTAATATAAAAAGTTAATTTTTAAAACTTCATTCACCAATAAAATACGCTAGTTTTTCTTTTCGAATGATTAGTGGACAATATATCCGCGCGAGTGAAGCCAAAGGAAATAGTAATACAGTTACTATTTCCTGTGGCTTCACTTGTAATAAAAATTAATTATGAAATAACTTTAAAAAATCCTACAGGGAAATTATAGTACACTAACGAAAGATCAAATGTAAAAAGCACGAGAAAGCCTGTTAAATAATAATTTATATATTACTAGCTTTTACCCTCGACTTTGTCCCCGTGACCGATATAAAAAGTATAGATACCGATATCTTTCACCATCTTGTATAAAACGTGTACACAAAAATTTCATAGTAATTGGTATAAGGTAACAAACAAACTCACTTCTCGTTTATAATATTAGTAGAGATTCATCACTTTTTTACTGTTTACACGTTTAACTGTCCACTTCTGGACGTAAACCTCTCCATTAGGGGGTTTGCCAGTGGTTGGCATGCTTGACAGGTGGATTGGCAACCGCAGTTAGGCTTTAGAGATGTATTAAGAGGGACGCTGCTGCCTATCCCTCGACCTCCCTTATTCGCCCATTACGACACCCACGGGAAAGGAAGTAGTGGCTTATTCTATGCCGGGACCACACGGCTTTTTAGTAAGGATTATACTACAATAATATTGTATCAAAATAGGTAACAGTGTCTATGTAAAAGGATCCACAAAATTTTAACTGCGGTTGCCAACCCAAGCATATCACATACCGGAAAAACCTACCCTAATGGGGGAGGCCTATGTTCAGCAGTGGACAGTCAATCGCTGATATATGGATACAACAATAATAATATATATTAAAAATTAAAATTTTATTAGTTTCTTGTATCTTTACAATTTACTAACCAAAGTAAGCTGTTATTCAGGCCCCGTTTGCTATGCCCAGTTTGAAAAAAAATGTTTTTACATAATACATCCCTAAGCAGAAAATCCAATTTCTACAAAACTAATACATAATCAAATTAATTATGAACTTATTTACTTACATATTCTATAATATATATATATATATATATATATATATATATATATATATATATATATATATATATATATATATATATATATATATATATATATATATATATATATATATATATATGTGTATATAAAAATAAACCTAGCCTAAGTTGTATTTTCACTATTCTTAGGTTCGAATATACCGTTCTATCCGCCGAGCGAGAAGAACGTTGTGTACACTGGCCGTTTAGGTGATACTGTGGACATGCCTTGCACACATGACTTAGACCCACCCGTCACCTTCGAATGGCGGAAGGAGTACTCCAGCACCCCACTACCGTCGCACGCTAGAGCTAGTGCGGTAAGATTATATTGTACACTATAATGATTGTATTGTACTTTACACTATATTGTATACTATGATAATTTATTCGTGTTACTTCAGCATACAAATAGCGACAAACAGATAAACGTTCTACTGAAAAACATAAAAAGTGACAGATGATTTTTCGTACGTATGTACATGCATATATGTGTGTGTGCGTGTTCGTGTACGTGTACGTGTGTGTGTGCGTGTGCGTGTGCGTGTGCGTGTGGGTGTGCGTGTGCGTGTGCGTGTGCGTGTGCGTGTGCGTGTGCGTGTGCGTGTGCGTGTGCGTGTTTGTGTGTGTGTTTGTTTAATTTCTTTAATTTTACCATTTTAAGGCTAATCATTTACAGGGATACAAATGTCATAGAGCATCATATTACAGAGCTAACAGGGCTAGAGCTAACAGTTGGTGAAGGCATTTAGTTATGAACATATATATGTTACAATACAATTAAATAGGTATATAAGGAAAAGCATTTTAATTTGTGTATTTAGGTCAAATTGACAAACAAAACTAGTTCGTGATTAAAATTTGCATTTTAACACTCTGTTTAAATATAAAAATTATTTAGTAAATATTATCTGAAAGAATAAATACTTTAATTTTGAAAAAATGCGTGATAGTATGTAATTAATTTTAAAAATACATATAAAAATATAAACAATTTTTGTTGCTATCAAAAATTGTAATACATCGCTGTAGACTTGAATAAACTTGAGCACTATAACTTAAAAATACTCATATAATACTCGTAATAAATTTTTTAAACACGTTTAAATAAAAAGCATAGAAGAGGGGAACACACGGTTGGTTAAAATTCACATTTATAAAGTTTGCTCAACTCAACGCTGTGGTAAACTGCGTCATTTTAATATACGGTTGTCTTTATTTTACAACTGACCTCAACTCGACCATAAGAAAATATTATAATATATATATACGATATATATATATATATATATATATATATATATATATATATATATATATATATATATATATATATATATATATAATATAATATGTCTATTACCTCAGAACTCCGTTATTGGTAAACAGATTTGAAAATTCTAATTTTATTCTTTGCATATGGTTTCAAAGAAGTTTTATGAAATGCGACACAGTAGTTCAGTTTTTTAATTGAAATGACTAGTTAAGCTACGATTAAAGCCATTCGCTATATCCACAGCAATTCCAAGCCGATATTTTTTCAATGAAATTATTTAATTATCCAAATTATTATTATTTCTACAGCCTCTGCTCTCATTGTACAATATCTCCGAAAACGACGCCGGTGTGTATGTATGTCGAGTGACCAATCAGCGGGCGTCCATAGAAACGAGAGCGACCCTGCGCGTAGAAGGAGTCATTCCAAGGTTCGATGGCAATTCTTGGATTGCACTACCTACTATAAAGGAAGCCTACAACAAATTCGACATCGAGATATCCTTCAGACCAGCTGGTATGTATTTTAATTAATTAATTTATTGTAATGCGTTCACTTTCTATCCCGTGGGTTTTCTTTTTTACAACACAGGGGGCAAATTAGCATGCGGCTTACCTGATGGTAAGTGACTACCGCCGCCCATGGACACCTATAACACCTACGGCATTGCAGGTGTGCTGCCGGCCTTTTAAAAGGGAATATGCTCTTTTCTTGAAGGTTATGTTGTCGTATCGGTTCGGAAATACTGCTGCTGGAAGTTGATTCCAAATTTGGGTGCCGTAATAGGCGACTAACTTTTTGTCCCGTGGGGGTCGTAAGAGGCGACTAACTTTCTATCCCGTGGGTGTCGTAAAAGGCGACTAACTTTTTGTCCCGTGGGGGTCGTAAGAGGCGACTAACTTTCTATCCCGTGGGTGTCGTAAAAGGCGACTAACTTTCTGTCCCGTGGGTGTCGTAAGAGGCGACTAACTTCCTGTCCCGTGAGTGTCGTAAGAGGCGACTAAAGGATCTTAATAGTCAAGGGATGAGCAGCAGCGTCCCTTTTAAAACATCATCAAAGGCTAACTGCGGCTGCCAACTTGCCTGCTATGCATGGAACTACCGATAAAATCCCTATTATGGGTAGTCTATTTTTAGCAGTGGATAGGTAATGGCTGTTTTTATAATTCACTTTCTATATATATATATATATATATATATATATATATATATATATATATATATATATATCATATGTATTATATATATATATCATATGTATGTATTAGTGTATCTCCATATATATTAAAAGTAAAGCTTATGTATTATATGTGCATTTCTTATGTATTGTGTATTGCTTTAATGTGTTACTATAATTGTTACATATTTTTCACCACATCTGTCCTTTATACGCCTTTTATTTTTACCTAATGGTTAGCTGATAGAGTATGCTATATGGCATGAAGCTCGCCATATATTATTTTATTACTAGCGACACGCCCCGGCTTCGCACGGGTGCACATCACATCACATTAGAAATCTCTAAAATTATCAGTGTTTCTTTACTATATTATGCATGTATTATACATATAAACCTTCCTCTTGAATCACTCTATCTATTAAAAAAACCCGCTTCAAAATCCGTTGCGTAATTTTAAAGATTCAAGCATACATATGGTCGGACAGACAGCGACAGCGACTTTGTTTTATACTATGTAGTAATAACATTATATTATTATAACATTTTTAATTATTTTCAGATGACAATGGCCTACTCCTATATAACAGTAACAACCTCGATGGCAACGGTGATTACATAGCGCTACAGCTGATCGACGGGATCCCGCAGTTCATCATGGAAACAGGCTCTAGTCCGGTCACGGTACTAGGCGATCGACCACTGCAGTTGAACGCTTGGCACACGATCAAACTGAACAGAAATGGAGGCAAAGGTAGAGGCCTAGTAACTTGCTTATCACCATACCTCAAACACAACGAAAACCTATCCTATCTATGGTTTTCCTTAATAACAACCCATCAATCTTCCACTATTGATTTCTGTTACAATATTTGTAGGCTATTAACATTTCGGCGAAACGATTACGTATAAAGTTTAATTTTGAATATTTATTTTCTTGTACTAGTTCCTCTACGCCCTACAGACATAGACCCTTCCGTTGTATGGTCTCCGCATAGAATGGGTCACCCCTTCTTTTGTCATAGATGACGTAAGAGGTGACTAAAGCAACTTAATGATCGAGGGATTGGCAGCAGCGTCCCTCTTAAAACATCACTAAAATACTCCTAATAAGGGGAGACCTGTGTTCAGCAATGGCAGTTGATGGCTGATATGAATGTAATAATACCTTAATCCCCAGTATTAACTACACACAAAGGGTTACTACGAGCGTCACAGTATAATTATGCGTGTTTTATACTACAATGATTGTTTGTTTCAGTGTCCATGATCGTGGATGAGACTGGGCCATTTATCGGTGAAGAGGGCAGGTGGGATGTTTTGGATCTGTCTGAACCGTTATACATCGGCTATGTTCAATATGACGTCGCACTACCGCCATCAGTGAAAGCGGACGCTGGGTAAATGTCGACATGTAACCCTTTACACTTTCTTAGAGTATTTGCTATGATACTGGAATATATGTAATATGGATATAATACTCTTAATATAATATTAATACTTTAATACAATCTAAATAGATATTAGTCATTTCTCTTAGATATTTCGATGAATATTTTTGTTTAAAAAGAATCCAATACAATATATAACAATATCTTCTTTTTAACCGATTTCAAAGAGAGGGAGTTTTTTTAATTTCATTGTGGAATTGTTTATGTCTGTTGTCTCATAACTCCATTCACTATAAACCATTTTTAAAAATCTTCTTTTTGTTACTGAATAAACTAATATAAGTTCAATAGTTTATTTTTTAAATCAAAGACAATTAATTTTAGTGAAAATAGTTTTTTTTTTTCGAATACAATGTTGATTTTGTAATCATATCTTTATTTGAGAGGAACAATAAAAATTTTACATTAATTCATGCATACAATGTTTCAGTTTCGTCGGTTGCGTGAGCTTGCTGAAACTAAACAAGGTAGACAAGAAGTTGATATCTGACAGAATTGATTGGAGCAACGTCGAGTATTGTGACCCTTGTGTGCCCAATCTATGCGCGAACGACGGCGTCTGTCAGGTAATTCATTATTTTTATAATATAATAGATATCAAATAACAAATAATCACTTCTACTGGCCACTCTCATGTCAACATAGAGCATGCAATGCCAAATGAACTAGCAGCTACCACTTAAATAAAAATGGTAACTATCCTATAGAGTGGTATACTTTACATCTAGGTAAACCGTCGATATGTTTTTCATTCTAAGAGTCATTAAAAAATATCCATCTAATAAAAAAACATAAGCCTTCTAACTGAAACTGAATCTTTGCCCTTCAAACTGTAACATATCGAACGAGCATTTGATTCATTCGATTCTACAACATTTTTCCCATGTAATGATTCAGGAGGCAAGTAACGAGCGCGGCTATATTTGCCTGTGCACCCCCGGATTCGCGGGTCTGAACTGCAACCGGACCGGCGAGGCGTGCCGGCCTGGTATATGCGGACCGGGAAAATGCACCGACACCGCTGACGGATACACCTGCGCTTGTCCCGTCACGTACACTGGCAGGAAGTAAGTTATTATAACGTGTTTATATTATTCATCGTCGTATCAAAACCAATATTGTCATATCGGAGATCAATATTATCATATCGAGGGTCAATGTAACTATATTAGAGATCAATATTGTCATATCGAGGGTAAATATTACTATATTAGAGATCAATATTATCATATCGGAGATCAATGTTATCATTACGGGATTTAATATTTCTCATTGTTATTATTTATTATAATTATTTATATTTATAATAAGTTTACTATTGTAATCTCTTGGAGGAAACAATAAAGAGTATCTGTCTATCTATATTAGAGATCAATATTATCATATCGGAGATCAATGTTATCATTACGGGATTTAATATTTCTCATTGTGATTATTTATTATAATTATTTATATTTATAATAAGTTTACTATTGTAATCTCTTGGAGGAAACAATAAAGAGTATCTGTCTATCTATATTAGAGATCAATATTATCATATCGGAGATCAATGTTATTATTACGGGATTCAATATTAGTATATTAGAGATCAACATTTCCATATCAATATTATTAATTCAGTAGCTTTTACCCGCGACTTATTTCACGTGACCAGGATATGTTTACTAATCGGGATAAAAAATAGTCTATAACCTTTTCCATCCCATATATCGTAAGTATATACTAAATTTTAGATTCGATTGGTTAAGGCACTATTATATAAACATAAAAAAACTCATTTTCGCATTCAGAATATTAGTAAGAATTGTAGTTTTCTGGGATCTCGATGGGTTTTTTTCTCTTTACCAATAAAAAGTATCTATTGTAAAAAATATCCCTTTATTTTTTTGGAAACTGTCACCCGCCAATGGTTACGAGATCGATTCTCGCATTATATAATTATTTTTGTTGCCTTGTCTAACTTATGTATTTTTACATCGTTTCTGTCACGTATGTGATATTTTCCTTTTTCCATTTTCCCCACTATAATCGCCTATTTGTCTATATAATATCATGACTAAATTAATTTATTTTTTATTTATTTGTATGCAGTTATTAATAAATTATAATTATATATATTTTTTAATTACATATATTTGATCAAGATACTTCCATCTAGAGCAGCTCCTAGCGACATGTCCATTCATTCGTGCTCGATAAATATTATATGCTATTAATTTTTTTTAATTATCATATTTTTTATAATTTAGAGTAGCCTATCGTTTTTAAAATGATTATATAAAATATCATTATATTTGTTTTATATAGACTTTATAATTAATACGTTTCCACAGCTGTGACGTCAAACAGTACATAGAGTACCCAGCGTTCACGGGCAGCGCGTACCTGGCCATCAAAGCACCAAGCACCTCCAAGTTCTTCAAGATGTCCATGAAAGTGAAAGCCACCACGCCCGTCACTGACGGCATCATCATGTACTGTGCCGAGTCAGCGAGAGGCTACGGAGGGTTCACTTCCCTGGCTGTGCACAATAGGAAACTCGAGTTCAGATACGATCTAGGCGACGGTAAGTTGGCTAATATTTTATCCTGATAATGTTATAAATGTACAAGTTAGTAAAAATGTTTGTATGTTTATTACTCAGTAACGCTTAATCAACTGAAAAAAAAATTAAATTCAATACAACTTAACACAACAACTTTATATACGATAGATATGTTATTTTTTTATACCATAAAGATGACAAATAAGCATCCAATCAATCTGATAGTCATGTAAATGGTCACTGTAGGCTATGGTCGCCTATAACACTAGGGTTGTCTCTTACAAAGTAATTTATAACAATACCATATCGTCATATCTTTGTTTCCTGCAGCTTAGTCTACGTGAATCAGTATATAAACTGTTCTATATGTTAAATTAGGATATCACTTACTCGTGTACCAAATTTTATTCATATTCATTCGGCCATTTTAGTGCGATTGAGTAATAAACATCGAAATACATACTCGAAAATCTTTACAAATTTTCATATTTATAATTTATTAATCAATAAGATAAATATATAATTTGTTTCCAGTAGTAATTTGTTAATTATTATCATTAAACAGGAAGCCTGCCAGTAATAATAACGGCCGACAGGGAGTTGCCACCCAACGAATGGACAGACGTGCAAATCGCTCGTGTCGGTCCCGACGTGTCCCTGAAAGTGAACCTTATATACAGCTACGATGGAAGACTCGACTCCGCTAAGAAGGTAACACATTATTTTCAAGCGACTTCAAAAAGAAAGTTCTCGATTCGGTTGTATAGTGGTCTGTACATTGTGTGCATTTGGGACTGCTATGTCTTTTTTTATACAATTTAGAATAGCAAACAAGCTGATGGCCCACCTGATGGAAAATGGTAACCGTCGCCTATAGACATGAGCAATACCATGGATATAACAGAGTATACTATTTCGCCCACGATACCCCCATGCGTTGCCATTCCTGAGGACTCAGGTGTTATTCCTCTGTACCCTGTAAATTCACGCCATATCTTACCTTTCAAATCGAAACACAGCCATACAAACAACTGATTCACGGTAGAAAAACGAATGCAACAGAGGTAACCAAGCAAACGACTTCCTTGGACTTGTACAAAGTCTCCCTCTGGTAAATGCAATGATGTATGTCGATAATATATGCTTTGATTATTATTATATTTAGTATTGCTAGTAATGGGGACTAATATCCCCATTACTAACAATCTAACAAACTGAACATTGGTATAAACTGGACCATTAATTTCAGGACTTGACTCTGGAGACCCCTATGTTCGTGGGCGGTGTGGATGACTCGATCATTCTCAACAACAACACCGGTATCACTGGAGGTTTTAATGGCTGCATCAAAGATGTAATGTATTATTTATTAATCACTAGCTTTTACTCGCGACTTCGTCTGCATCACCGTGATATGTTCAGTGATCAGGATAAAAAATAGCATGTATTCTTCATTATCCCATATAATGCTTATTTACCAAATTTTTATAGTGATTGTTTAAACTAAGGTGCTAAGAGGTAATAAACAAATACACTAGCGCATATTTTATTTATATTATCAGTCTTTACTGTCCACTGCTGAACATAAGCTTTGCCAGTAGTATTGGAGTGGCATCCAGGCCTTGGAGATGTTTTTATAAGATTCAGCTAAAAAAAAACAAAAATTTTGAATTATGTCATTTTGTGTTTTGATTAATTACGCACTAAATATCGAGGTTGACATTAGGAACGATTACTAATTACAATGATCAATCAACTGTTATTTTTGCCCATCAAGGTCCAAGTTTACGGCGACGCAGTGGATATTGTGAACTCTTCGATCCGATCCGCCAACGTGAAGGAATGCAGCATCTACGACCGTGGTGACATACCAGAAGTGAGTACTCGTGTTTTTTATTATTTATTTATTATAGCCATGTATTGAAGTTAGCCTCAATAAAAATAAACAATATGCACTATTATTGTTGGTAGTTCATCTTATAATTAATTTAATATTATTCACTAATTACACTCTCTCATTGTATGCCCAATATGCCCTAACCGTTATATGCCCTCACTTTTACATATTCTCGTCATTAGCGTCATCATCATGTCAGCCTTTAACTGAGGTGACAAACAAACATACGGCCCACCTGATGGTAAGTGGTTACCGTAGCCTATGAACACCTGCAATAGGTATTACGCGTGCATTACTGACCCTGAAGAAACCTCTTTACCTCCCTTTTGAAGAACCCCATGCTGTAGGCTCTTGGGAAAACCTCGGCAGGGAGCTCATTCCATAACCTGAGTGTCCGTGGGAAGAAACATCTCTGAATCTGCGCAGTGCGAGACCATTGAGGCTGTAAATGTAAATAAATCGTTGGTATATCTGTCTGTTATTGTTACAGGCTGAAAATGTATGTTCGCAATGTCGCAACGGCGGTGCTTGTGAAGGGGATTCCAACGTGTGTTCGTGTCCGCCCGGCTTCACCGGCATTTATTGCGAGTCGTACTCCCCGAGGAGGATCCCGCGGGCACCGTGCGCGGTCCAGCCCTGCAGGAACGGAGGCACATGCAAGGCCGACCTTACCACTATGATGAACTACACGTGCGACTGCCCGCTCGGATACTCCGGCACTAATTGTCAAATGCGTAAGTGAACAGTGTAGGGTAGCTGAGAAAAACTGTTATTCACGGTTATATAACTAGCTCAGTTTAACGATGAATTTTATGAGCACCGTTGATATACAAAATAACCCAAATGTGACATTAAATTTTACTAATGTAATATAATTGTAACTAAACAATATTAAAGAAAATATAACACGAGGTGTCTTAGTCAGTCTAATAGATGTCAAAACATTAAATTATAAAATTGTTGTCTGTATGTTTGTTCCTATTACACCAAATTGGATGCAGTTTTATAGTTATATTTTATACCTGAAGATCTAACTTAAAATATATATATGTTAGTTTACCTATAGATATAAATAATATTTTTATTTTATTTATTTAACACTTTATTGCACCAATATTACAGGATTTGAATTCAGTCAAAATTTTCAATAAGTATAGTGTAGTACATAAGGCGGTCTTATTGCTAAGCAATCTCTTTCAGATAATCTTTAATACAGAACTGGTAGACTTGTTCGTCATTTCATATAACATTTTCAGCATTGGAACTTCTCCAAAGCGTGGGTTTCAACGGCAACGGATATTTGGAACTGCCAGCGAACCTTCTACGCTACGACGACCTCGCGTCAGACCCGGCTGTGATCGCTTTAGCTATGCACACCACCAATGACGGCGTACTGCTGTATCAGAGGCAAGGCCCGTCCTCGCCTGACGACTACTACGCGGGAGATTTCATCTTGTTACGTGGTACGTTTACTGAAATCATCATCATCACTCGGTTTAAAGAGCGATACATTTCAGTGTTTTTCTTTATACTGCTATGGTGGCAAACAAGTATATGGTCCACTTGATGGTAAACAGGGTTACCATGGCCTACGGACGCCTGTGACAGCAGGCATAAATTATAGGGTATGGAAGCATAATCCTATAGTTCTCAAGAATGGCAGTGCATGAGAGCTACCGCGAGGCAACACAAAGTATTCTGAGATATTTATAGTTCTATTCAAGTGTACAGGGGACGGCTACCACCTTCCATCAGGCGGGCTGTTAATTTGTTTGTCATTCTAAGGCTTTAAAAAATATTACAATCTCCCCATTGAACATTACTCTTGTAGCGATTATTAGTAACGGGGTCTGATGACTCTATTTCTAGCAATATGCTCGTCAGGTATCTCCATGTGGTTCTCCCTGAAAACCATCGTAGTTCATTCCTTGATTCGTCACTATGGGCCAATTGACGTGATTTATATTATTATTTAGCTATTTCCAACTCTATTAGTACTGTCAGTATAGCTGGCGGAGTGCCAGTAAGTTATGATGTTAGAAGATAAGTTAAGTTAGCCCTTCCTGAATAATGTACTAGGAATTGACCACGATAGTTCCTTGAGAAGACCACACGGAGGTATTTTGCCAGTAATGACGCTCTTAGACTAACAATCTCCTTCCCTCCTCGATTAATATTCTATCAAGTCGGTCTCCACTCGATCACCCTGGGAACTATCGTGATTAATTCGAAGTCAATGCGTACTATTCGTACGGTTTTGCTTCGATTGATTTTATTTTCCACATAAAAAATAAAAATTCCCCTAAGAAACTATTGTAATTGATTGATTGTAGAATTGGTCACGATAGGTCGAATAACCTGCTTCATCCTCACCCATCACTCCTTACTGGTGCCCGATAGTGTATACCGTTAGCGCAGGCGGAATTTCCGTTCCATTATCATCTATTAAATAAAATACTATACTAGTATTTATACATTATTTTCTTGTTCACAGTGGAAAAAGGCATTGTAGTAATGGAATGGGACTTGGGCGGTGGAAGTTCGATATTAGCAATAAACGACGTGTTCGTCGCAGACGGTGAAAGGCATACGGTGAGTTTATTATCATACTTCGATTTCTCTACAACATAAGAAAAAAAGCTTTTCTATTTATAATTAATTATTTATCTAAAGATTAATATTAAATTATTTAGCATTTTTTTTTATAAACGCTAGAAAATATTTTTTATGTAATATGGAATGACTTACTCTCTTATGGATACAAACTAAAATGGCGTATGAACTGTTACATTTGGTTCACAGAAATGTCAACAATCTCATAAACCTATTTTAGTTAATGGAGTGTTTTGTTTTTTTTTTCTTACACTAAATTCTCAATTGGAAAAAAAAGTGACAAACTTCTAAAAATTATAATATATTTAAAACATTAACTCTCTTATTTTTATGAATAAGAGAGTTAAGGTTTTATCATTTTTTGAATTAAGAACTTAGTTGAAAAAAAACTTCAATAAAACAGTTCAAGAATAAAAAAAAATATAGTTTTATCAAACGTCTTACTAACGTCTTGGTATGTACGGTGTAGATAGAGAGGTACCGATTCGAATTCCTAATAGATCCTCAGGCACTCAAATATTTAATATACAGAATTCATATGTACACTAGTCACGTGTTGACCGTATATTTTTATTTTTCTATTTAATTATCTTACTCGAGCCAGTATTTGATTGTTTTTTTTTTTCATAAGTACCATAAGTGGACATATAGATACAAGCGTAAGAATAGTTTTCCTGACATATTTTTGTCTTTACCAGGTGATTGCTAAACTGTTACCTGACGGCGAGGTTTCCTTATCGGTCGATACCAAAATTAAATCTGGTCAGACTAATGGATTGCAGAAAACTATGAATGCCGATTCCAATATTTACATTGGTAAGTTATAATTATCTATATTATGTTAATTTATTTGTATATCTATGACACCCCCTACTTACAACTTATACCTATACCATCATGTTAAAATAATTGCAAACAGGGTAAAGTTAAAATTAACTTTAAGAAGTTTCTTACCACATTCAAAACTACGTATAAATTATAGAATATTTAAAAAAATAATATTTATTTCTATGTACATGTATTTTCACAAAAAAAAATACCTAACTAAAAATGTTCACATCCATTAGCATTACTAATTTTCAAATATAATTAAACAACTTTTTTATATGTCTGATTGATAAAAAATAATAGAGTATCAAAACTCTCTCTTATAATAATAATAATCATACAATAAGATTATTTTATCAAACAATAATAAAATATTCGATTTATTGGCAATTAGTGTGTGAAAATTGTTCAAATGTTTTAAAAAATTTACAGACACAGTCTTGCCATAAAAATCATTTAAAACACTATTTATCTAAAAGGGCAAAACTATTCAAGTAACTAAATATTGTTCAGTCATTATGTTTGTTTGAAATTTTGTATGCCAAAATCTGATTAAACAAACTGGTTTGATAAAACTTATTACTCCAAGTTAATCGTTTTGTGGTAAAATATCTAGCTTTTAGGACTAGGCAGCCTTATCTAGCGGTATTGCTTATTATTTTTACAAAAAATATAATTCCCCAGGTGGTATCCCGGAGAGATTTAACGAAGACAGGTACCCAGGCCTTTCGGGATGTATAGAACAGGTGGAACTCATGAACGACAACCGAGGCCTGAACCTGGGCAGGCAGGCTGTCGCGGCGAGAAACACGCAACTGTGCAAGGAGTGAGTTATATTATTATTAATATTTATTTATATAATTGCTTGTACTAACCGAAATACTACCTAATAAGGGGGATATTGGAAAATAACATTATTTTTTATTTTATTTTTTATGTTACACTATGATCTAGCCACTAATTTGTGCAGGTATAAGACTTTTTAATAAAATATAGTTTAAATAAAGAATTAGCGATATACCTAATGCAGCCGGGTTGCCTCCTTTCAGTTAGTCATAATCTAGGGTTATGAGGTATAAAAACAGATAATAATATAAGTGAATTTGGTAAATTCAACAAGTTTATTGTTAAAATTAACAACAAACGGAAGTTCATCATCATATACATGGTAACATATGGTTGTCTGCCTATTAAAAATGTTTTTCTTTTTAATAAGCAATAATAAAGGTTGCAAAATGTTATTCTAGACAATATTATAGTAAAAGTTATAGAGAATTAATTTTTTTTGATAAATAAATAAATGAAAGTTTTTTTTTTCTATACGACGATGTAGGGTTTCCTATAAAAAAAAAGTAAGGTTGTGGTTAACTGAATAGGCAACTGTGATAATGTATCACAGTTGTATTTGTATTTTTTATTGTAGTTGTTATTGTATTTTAATTTTTTTTTATTAGTTTCATTAAAAATATCGTGTACCTGTAGCAAACAGAGGCAGGATCTTAGACTATACTATATTGTCTATTTGTCAAATTTTAAGTAATCATTTTTACTTATTAAAGGTTGCCAATAACATTTGATCTCGTTTATTGCAGTGCTTTATTTAAGATTTCATACTTGTGGCGTGACTTAAAAGTGACTAGCAGTCTAACCAATCAACCTTTGGGATGATCGTCACTCCCTTTCTGTCCATATCATTTTTAATACAGACTATCCATGTTTTTTGGGGTCCTCTTCTGCCCCTAACCACATTTATATTTTACATTTTTTTTTTACTCAAAACGTTCTCTTCATCCTGTCAAATCACTGTCAAAAACATAAAATTTAAACTGAGAGATTATTTACTGTCCAACCTTGGTAAAACAGCAGAATATTAATGTAAATAGTGATATTTGAGAACCGAATGTAAAGTATCACACACAAGCCCAAGAGGTTTAAGTGGTACTAAAAATCCAATTTTTTTTAATGTATTTCTGTATGATAATTAAATAAAAAAATAAATAAAAAAATCCACACTCATCACATATGGATATGTTTTAAGTACAGTTTAAAACCACCACGTGTATCGACTTGGTATGGACCAGTACTTGGTTTACTCTTGAATCCAATACCGATATCGATCCAATCTATCGCCAATGACAATATTATACTGCACTCATGAAACAACAATTAGGAATTAGGTGTGAATTGGAATCGATTTGCATTGACAATTAACACTAATATGCATATAGATGCATATGCAGAACAATATGGAACCATTGTGTCGCTAGTATTACAAATCGAGAGACCGAAATGTCAAATTTCAATTTCAATATCGATCTATTGGAATTTATTTCAAGAGTAACCCCACAGGTCCATACATATCGTCGTAGTCGTAGAATACTGACGGATCTTTATATGTAATATTTGTCAGATCCGTCAGTATTCTACGATTATGACGATATGGTTATTAAAACTCCCCCGGATATATACCTGTACTTTATTTTATCCATCCTTGTACCACACATCCATCGAGGAGAAAGGGATTGTTAGTAATGGAGACTGAGAATCCCATTGATAGCAATATACCCGACCAGGTCGAGCTCCTCGCGGTACACACATATGATATATATATATATATATATATATATATATATATATATATATATATATATATATATATATATATATATATATATATATATATATATATATATATATATATATATATATATATATATATATATATATATATATATATATATATATATATATATATATATATATGGCATGCCATATGGCATTAAGCTAACCATTGGGTAAAAACAGAAAGCGTATGAAGGGCAGTTGTGGTGAAAAATAAGTGACAATTACGAGGTCTGTCCGGAAAGTTCGTATAAAAGTGTTCTGGAATGCGAGAAAGAGGAGTGGGGAGGCCAGGTAAGCGCAGGACCCCTTCCTTATGTCCATAACAATGCTTCAGTTCTGGTCTGACCGCCGTGCGGTGCGAACTGGCTTGTCACGCCATCTGTGAAGTTACCTCTTAACGAAACCCCGTCGGCATGGAGCCCGCTTCCGTTGAAGAGCAGCGCGTCGTAATCAAGTTTCTCTCGAAACTCGGCAAGAATGGCCGTGAAAGCAAAGAGTGGAAGACATCCGGGGAACCACGAACAAAAAAATCAAGAAAATCCCGCTCAAATGTCAAGACAATGTTGATTGTTTTTTTCGATGTTCGGGGGATTGTCCATCAAGAATTCGTCCCTCCAGGCCAGACAGTTGATGGAAAATTCTACGTCGATGTGCTCAGACGCCTCAAAGCTCGTGTGGCACGAGTTCGTCCAGAATTGGCGCGAGAGGGGCGTTGGATTCTTCACCACGACAATGCCCCTGCCCACACCTCTCTTGTTGTCCGTGAGTTTTTGAGTAAAAATTCCATTACGGTGACCGAACACCCCCCCTATTCGCCGGATTTGGCCCCGTGTGACTTCTTCTTGTTCCCAAAAACCAAATTGGTACTTCGGGGGCGGCATTTGGGGGACATAAATGAGATAAAAAAAGCTACGACGGGGCAGCTGAGAAACCTACAACCAGAGGACTTTCAAGGAGCCTTCTCACAGTGGAAACGGCGTTGGCACAAGTGCATTATGTCACAGGGGGAGTACTTTGAAGGGGATAAAATTGATTTACCTGAATAATTGTAAAATAAAATTTTTAAAAAACTTTTATACGTACTTTCCGGACAAACCTCGTATAGTAACACATTAAGGCATTACACAACATAAATATAATATACACATAAGAAATGCACATATAATACATAAACTTATTAGTTTATCCATATAAATTACTTTTGCTATATATGGATAAATTAATACATATGAAATATATGCACCTAATATGTTTGGATTAAATTTCATTTACTCATTACATGAATTTATAGATAAAATTCCTAAAAAAATGAATCTATGATGTCCACAAATAAAAAAAGAACTTGGTATTTCAAATACGCAAGTCTATATTCCCCATTATTGTAATTATCAAAAAAAAATACCAGAGAAGGTTCTTAATTCTAATATTTGCATCAAAATAGAACTACTATAAAAAGTATATATGTATATATACATAAATCGATTGAATGATCCAATAGGAAATGACCTTTGCTTCATTATTTTCTAATGCCCTTTATCTTTTATTAACCTTTGCCTTTATCTTTTGTTTTCACTACTTCCCCATTAGGATACCCGAGGTTGATTGGAAGAAATCCCTTTTGTATATAAGTCCATCATTGAACTTACTTTGTATCAGCGGTCTTACTTTATTTATACATATTTTTATAAATAATAGTTACAGTGAAAGATTCCTACTAACTGCAAATAATGTATTGGCATAAAAATAAATAAATTATTAGTTGAACATGTCCTTCGAATTTCCAATTTCCGGGATAGAAAGAGATGTCAATATTATATTATAGAGTAGACATTTTATTATATATACTGACCTGATTAGATTTAATTGCGCCAAGTTTCAAACACGTTTTCGTATTTTGTATCGGTAACATAAAATAAATAGACAGAAAAAAAAAATTAAAAATAAATAAGCTTTTATATAATAGCTTGTTGTGTTACCATTAGAATTAAACGTAATATAAATTTCAGCAAAATCCATTATAATCTAGTTTTAACTTAGATTGTAAAATTTAACTTAAACTAGCTTACTCTATTACCAGTTATTATCAGAAGTTGAACATTGCTAGTTAAATAAGAGCTTGTAAAGTTGACACGAATTCCATAAGTTTATTATATTTTTTTCTTGTCTGTTTAGACAGATAGCAACCCTAGATTAACTACTAATGCTAACTCTCGCATGTTCGTAAGTTAACATGAGTAATATTAGTACTGGTTCAGTATCTATATATTGGGTTCTTATGTATCTTTTGAACATTAATAGCGAATAAATTCATCATTCACTTCGATATATCTATATTAATTTCGATCGGGTTATTCAATATGATTATTAAATATTTGATTGAATATTTAATATACTCGTTATTGGGCTAATATATAAATATTATAACTGAAAATATATGGATATTGCTATATATAGTATTACCCACTCGCAAGATACATTATGACTTAACAACGATTTTTACATATTTAACTCTTGTTGTAATACTAAATTACTAACTTGCACGCTGCCACGGATGATCAGCTCCATGTTTCCCGACGTATATCCATTCTTTGAAGAGGTGGAGGTGTTTGAGTCCCCCCCGCGTTACCATTCCAAAGCTAACATTATATTCAGCACTAAGTATGGCTTGTTCTTAACTCTCGTACCGTCCATCCTGTATATATCTAATGTATTCTCTGATACACTACAATATTCTATCGACTGCTGTATGGGCTCTCTCAGGTTTGTATTATATTATATATTTTTAACTTTAAATTCATATTGTATTATTATCTAATATTACGTGTTACATAGGCTATATTTATTCTATATATATATATATATATATATATATATATATATATATATATATATATATATATATATATACCGAATTCAATTCAAATCATTAGCCATTGAAACATGTTTGAATAAAACGTTAGTACCTCATATATTTTTACAAACTTTTATATTTATTAGGTATTTAGCACAACGGCAAGTACGCTATACAAATTGTACCTCATTAGTGAAAATCAGCCTTATCTACTATTTGTTGTCAAGAAAGCCCTACACTAAAACTCGGCCGCTTTTTTACCAATTTATACAAAACATCTGTATACGCTATTGAAACTTTTTGGTGTTATATTGTAACAAGCAAAATTATTATTTATTTTAAAAATTGAACATTTTGTTTATATGTTATTGAAATTGATATAAAATGGAACTTTGTAATGTAATATGGACGAATCACAAAGTTCCATTTTCACGAATCCCTGTATTTTATTTTATTGACCTTTATCAAGACAGTGTAAGGCGTTTCTCGCTTACACGGGACGTGGAAACGGTATTAACTGTATTTCAAACGAATCAAGTTAAATTAGTTTGAATAATTTGGGTGAAAGTCTCAATAGTGTATTCGTAATGATATGAACGTTAATTATATAATAAAATTCACATCCTATCGTTCGTATTTAGAATTTAGTTGCAAATGACATGGTATGACAATATGACCGTGAATCATGGACAACAAGTGTATTTTATAAAGTCTATGGTGGTTAATTACTACTTCCCATAAGATGGATAAGATTCCTTACTTCTACTATTATTTTTTTTAACATTATAGCGATCTATTTCTTGGACAAACTATTATCAATTTACCTCTAATATTTACATTTATATTTTCAGACCCGGACGTTACTAAGGAGGAGTCCTTCACAGTTCTATCATTAATGTTAAGGTGAATTCCGCAAACACTTGAAACCACTTCGTCAATATTTGTCTATTAAAGTTCCAGACTATTGTCAATTTAATGTAATAGTATAATAATTATTGAATATATCTAAATATAGGTCTCGATGTTGTTTGTTGAATTTAAAACCAACGATTCTTATTACATAAACACTTACAGTAAATGTTTGTTAATTTCTTTTTTAATTGGAAAAAAAAAAACTCTTTAACGAGTATCGTTGTACTTTAGTATATAAGATTTCAACATTCTGGACAATACAGTTAGTTTAGTATATAGATAATGGAGATGTTATTAATGAAATTTATCATTATTGTGTATAAGGTAAGTCGAATTATTGTATACACTCTCAAGCGAGTAGCTCTCGTCGATGTAACAAGTTGGTGCCATAATGTTCGAATAATACTTAAATAAATGTAGTTAGGTAACTATTTTCTAATTAACCTTTATAAAAGTCCAAATGGTACCGATGATTTTGCATTTCTCTCTGTTTATTATAATTTGCTATTATCGTTTAGAGCTAACAGTGATGCGGCGACTCGGGAACGAACATGTGCCAAATGTGACGGCGGCAGACAACAATATTTTATATCACTGCCATTATTTTCGCTTCGTAATTTTTAAGTTGATAGAATACTTTCGCTTTTTAATAAAAAAATAAATAAATAAATCAACGAAAAATGTATTTTATGCATTTAGACAAATATATAATAAACAATTATATATTATTATAGTACATACAATGACAATTACGTTTGTATTCATTTTATTATTGATAATGTAAATTGGTTGTTCGATGTTATATATTTTGGTGAAACGAAAATTATATATATATATATATATATATATATATATATATATATATATATATATATATATATATATATATACATTAAATGTGTATGTTACATAGCTTAGCTAATATAACTATTGACATAAATTTAAAGTGTCTCTGAAAGTACTGAAAATAACGTAGATATGTTTACATTGTATAGGTATGTACTGTCTGAATGCCTGCCTATATTGTTAGTCTATTCGTGTATTGTCGATAAGTGAATGATGAAATAAAACTAACACTGTAACTTGTTGTATTATTTCACTTCATATTTATACTAGCTGTATCCTGTGGCTTCATCCGCGTATCCCTTGTGCTATATTACAGTAAAACCTATCAGTGTAACAGTTTTCATTCAAATTCGTGCAGTAGTTTTTGTGGGAAAGAGTTACAAATACCTATCTATCCATCCGTCCATACTATCTTTTCTCATTTGTACTATTAATAGGATAATAATGGTATTTAATGGCAGATCACCAGTGATAGATATAACGACGAGGATGAAGTCAAATCGGCTGGCAATCATGACCTGTTTATCAGGAATTTACTATGACAGTTTACAAGGAGACCGCGTGAAAGTCGATCTGATAAAATGTATTACTAGTAATAAACCTAGCTAGTAATATCTCCATTACTAAGAATCTCGCACCCACTCCAGTGTTTTGATGGCTGAAAATGGAATGGCAACTTCGTTTACTCTATTGTTACTTAATTTGATTGCTGGTGTGATTCCAGAAAAGGATGATAGGAATTGCTAGTAATGGAGTCGATCCTCTTCCCTCTCGAATAACTGTTACTCCTTCTCATCAGGTAAACTGTCAACTTGTCTATAATTCTAAGTATAATATTGGACAAATTTCTTTAAACTGACTATACTATAATAGTAAACACAACTGAACACAGAGCCATCTAGTCCCAAACTAAGCAAAACTTATACCAGGCAACTGATACAAATATTTAAACGTTTTTTTTTTATTATATATACCATATATAGAAAACTCGTACACACGCACACACACACGCACGAACGCACACACACATGCACGCACGCACGCATGCACACACACGCGCGCCCGGTTTTGTGTGTGCGTATGTATGTATGCATTTTGTGGGGATCAAATTTGCGATCTTCGGAAAACGAAACAATTAAACCGCTACACCATCAAGGTTGTCGAAGGATAAAAAATGGACATAATTATATAAATGTGTCTATGATGCAGAATAAATGCAATAACGTGTCTATTAAATCTACAGTATAAAATATAATTACGTATATGAATCTAAAAGTACTTAATAATAAACGTAACCTAGATAGAGTACCTTCGAGACTTGATGTTAAATTAATTATTACCTATGTACTATCGGAACTTACTAGCGTTCGACAATGCCCGTTGACTTTGATTAAATGAAATAGGTGCACTAGGTACTCATTGCTTCAACTGTGTTTGAAAGGCGCGAGGGCCAGTTATAATATTGCAGGTTTATTTGTAGCTCTACAGTTTCATTTATTTGCTGTATTTCTAGTGTTAATTTATATTTTAATTAAACACGAGCAAGAAAACACAATTTTGTTTATTCGATTTTATTTTATGGTTTTATCATCATCAAATCAGCTGTAAACTGTTCGCTGCTGAACAAAGGTCTCTCCCATAAGGGGGTTTAGCTAGTGGTCGCCATGCTTAGCAGACAGGTTGGCAACCACAGTTAACCTTTGGTATTGAGTTAAAGGTAACGCTGCTGCCCATTACTCGACCATTAAGTCCCTATAGCCGCCTCTTATGACAACCATGGGAACGGAAGGGGTGGTCCATTCCATGCTGGGACCACACGGCGACAAATTCAAATTCAAGTCATTCAAATAAACTTGTCTACAAGTACTTTTAAATCATCTTTTTTTATGAAAACTGGGTTCAAAAAATGATTATATGTCGAGAAGAGCTCGCAAGATACTCAATAGTTACTCTTTTAAATCTCTGTTAACATTATGTGTATTTATTTAAAAGTACTGTCTAGAATTATATTGGGCAAGGAATAGTCAGTAGCGTCCCTCTTAAAACATCTCTAAAGCCTGACTGCAGTTGTCAATCCACCTGCCAAGTGTGGCAACCGCTGGCAAAATTCCCCTAGGGGAGGCTTATGTTCAGCAGTGGACGGTTAAGGGCTGATATAATTATGATGTCTAAAATAACATAGTTGTTAAAAGCCCATACATGGTCGACTAACACCATGCACATTTGTCATTCAAGTAATCGTTTAGTGTTCAAAAGGTTTGGTTTAATAAGTATTTTTAAATAACAGTTTTAAACTTATTAAAAGGCAGATACAAAATATCCTTCGATATTTTATTATAACACTAAATGCCTATTCCCATAACAGACGTATTAACTTTTTCGAAACGATACTTCGGAACAGCAAGTTTGTATGTAGTGTTAAGATTATTGAGATCAAGTTTTTGGTTTATATAAACTCATATCAGCCTTTAATTGTCCACTGCTGTACAAAAGCCTCCCCCTTGGGGGGTCTTGCCAGTAATTGCCACGATTGGCAAGCGGTTCAGCAACCACAGTTAGGCCTTGAAGATGGTTCAAGAGGGACACGGCTGTCCAATCGTCGCCCTCCTTCAATCACCTCTTATGACACTACTTACACGGGAAAGGAAGGGATAGCCTATCCTATGACGGGACTACACGGAGAACGTGGGTCCCTATATATACATATATTACACAACCAAGCCTATATTTATAAAATTAATAATACATTACTTTTAAATCTCATCACAAACAACTCTACAGTAGATATATGTAGTATGGTTAAAAAAAGTAATAAAAATAATTCGACCAACCGATGTAAGAATGACAGTGGCCCAAATAGATAAAAAAAACATGTCAGATTACTACATCCCAACCGAAAGGCGCTTAACCTAAAATTAATTGTAAGCGCATAATTTCAGAACATTTGGGTACACGTACTAAGCAATTTTTTTTAACAGAAAAGAGTTTGCACGAAAAAAAATATTTGAATAATCATAAGGCAAAATTGACAAATTTGGGTTGCTAACTCAACGTTAATCTATAATATATATGTGTATATATATATAATAAATTGCATAAAGATAAGAAATATGAATAATAACTTCAGTGGCAATAATAAAAACGTATTGAGCACAAAATCGCATCAAGTATTAAATATCAGCTGAAGAGTTAAATTTCACAATCCAGCAACTGCTCTACCACCAGACGCCCACGATAACCTTTCTGTTAACGCAATAAATCCAACTAATAATTATCAATGAAATTGTTATGACATAAAAATTTAAACAATATCTTTCGATTATAGTAAAACAATTAAACCGCTACACCATCAAGGTTGTCGCAGGATAAAAAATGGACATAATTATATAGATGTGTCTATGATGCAAAATAAATGCAATAACGTGTCTATTAAATCTACAGTATAAAATATAATTACGTATATGAATCTAAAAGTACTTAATAATAAACGTAACCTAGATAGAGTACCTAGATTATAGTAAATAATTTATAATAAATATAATTATTAGTCGTAATAAATGGAAGGAAAGAAAATAATGTACACAACCGTGACAACCTAGGACTGGAAGTCGATAAATTCCATAAAAACAATTGCATAATTTCCATCTCAATACAATTGTTTTTATTAAGTTATATTTTAAAATGGCAATAGAAAATTGTATCCGTATTACCAAAGTCTGTATTGTAAAATTAATTGTTTATTTATAATTAATTTTAACACAATTTACAATTTTAATTAATTAAAAAAAAATTTGTAGGAAAAAATTTTACTAATATAGAGAATGTCTTCCGTCATAAGTAATTCGTATTAAGTAAAATATCTACCTCTCAGTCAACAAGTTCTAACAGTAACAATGGAAACAACATGATAGTTTGGATATTAAAAGAAGTTACTGTTTTTATATATGTGTATAGGTAAGATTTTCTAACAGGTATAAGAACTGAGGCATATGTCGAATAAAGTATTTCGTTTGGCACAGTTTAAAGATGTATTTATTTATTTAAACCTACTAAACTTACGTAACTACACCACACAACGTGCTCGTTCACATTCATTGTGCAACTTTACAGTGTCGTAGAGAAATATTAAAAATTAACATGGTCAGTTAAATTTAAATTTACAGTCTCTCGATTGAAGTCTCTTGAGTTAACCGAAAGGTTATTCTATTTGTTTATTATAAATACAATAACCGCTCGCGAGCAAATCAACTGTTTAAATAAATTTATTAAGTAGATATTTTTTTGTTATACAACCTGGGATGGCAAACAAACAGACCGTCCGTAACCGTCGCCTATAGACATGAGCAGTACTATGGACATAACAGAGTATACTGTTTCGCCCGATCAAAGCAATCGACTTTTGTACAAAGTCTTCCTCTGGTAAGATAGATTTTTATATAGCATACTCATACTCGTTTCATCAAAATCTTTACTCCTGTTAGTCACAGATCTTACAATTTAAACCTGTTAATTAGTTTAATTACTTTAATAAATGTCTGAAGAAAGAGTTCAAATCTTTTATTTTTATAATTAACTTTCTACATAAAAGGTGAGCGTACTTTTTGCATCAGTCTAGCTTTGACGCCTTGCAGACTACAATCATCGAGCCAATTGACACACTTTTTTTCGATATTATAGTACATATCATTTGGAATTACTGTTACAAATTCATCCACAGTATCCGGTTTCATAACAAGAAAATCATTTTTACCTTTATTTTCAACAAAAGGGCTTTCAAGTAATGCAGAACTGTGTTTTGATAATGAATCAGCCAATTCATTTTCTACTACGACAGCTTGTTTATCTCTTACTATTTCTTCTTCTGGCTCTTTTGGTTTCAATATAATTTTATCATCATCATCATCATGAAGCATCTTCTTGATTTCTGTGGTAGACATCTTATGCGTTAACTTTTTATAACGTTGTTTACCTTTTTCTAAATTTACTGGATCTATTCGACGGCTGTTTTGTGGTTGTTTAAAATTTAATATAGATTCCAGTATTTTGTCCAAAATAACACTGTTATGATAGTTATCAATATTTTTCAGAATGTATATTTTTGGTAATTTCTTCAACGAAGACCTTTGAATAAATACTGCAATTACTATTAAATGAACCTGAAACGAGAAGTTTAAAACTTATTTAATTATAAATGTGTTAATTAATGGTGAAATTTACAATAATTGACAGGTTCATA